TGCTTCGCGAAGCAAGGGACTGTTGGATTCCGGTGTTGGATCTGATGATATCGGTTCAGAGGAGCAGGATTCTTGGCTGGGCAAGTACGGTTCATCCAAGTTCACCTTTAGCCAGCTCCAAGAGTTCGACATCGATGTCGATGTTCTCCCCGGAAACGTCACCGGCGACGGCCCTGGTGCAGACAAGTGGTGGTGGTGGATTGCTCAGCGCATATAAACGACGGAATATTCACGAGCGGGGGGTTCAATTGAATGACACAATTATATTAATGACATTTTTAATTTACGTAGATGATTCCCGTCGCAAATGCCATGTAGATGTTGAGTCTACCGCCCAAAAAATGCAGTTCTATCAAACAAACTTATTCCACCCAAATAATCCATCTCTTTTCTTCTAAAAGGTATCCTGGAACGCCAGACGTAAATGTCGTTGAAAACATGAGTACTCGTTCCTGTCCTCTCGCGAGGTTTTTTCTTTCTCTACAACTTCTTGTTAACCATCCATGTAAGGAGATCAACCTTTGTGACGATAGCAATGGGCTTGGATAGAGACTTGGAGTCGCCCGATTCTTCGGTGACAACGGCGGCACTGTTCCACTCAAAGAACTTGCTGAGGGTGGTGAGGGGTGTGTCCTTTGTGATCTCGACAAACTGTCTGCGCTTGCCGGGGTTGATGGGGGAGGCGAACTCGCGAGGGTCGGTGACGATCTCGTCAAGACGGGCAAAGTCGAACATGACGTCGGACACGGGGCTCTGGGCTGAGGCGCGGCCGCTGGAGATGTAGCTCAGGAGGTTACCCAGGGTGACGAGACCGACGAGCTTAGTTCCGCTGGCGTTAAGGACGGGGAGCTGGTCGAAGCCCTTGTCGCGCATGGTCTCGATGGCCTCGGAGCAGGTAGAGGTGGCGCCGACAGATGTGACGGGCTTGAGACGCAGAGCAGCAATGGTGGCGCCCTCGTAGGGGTCAGAGTTCTTCTTGTCGCCGTTACCGTTGACGGTGGACTCGACTCCGTTCACGGGGAGGAGGTTGTTGGCGGCGAGCCAGTCGTCGTCGGCGAACTTGGAGAGGTAGCTTCGGATGCTGTCGGGGAGGACAACAACGACGACATCACCCTTCTTGAAGCCGTACTCCTTGACGGCGAGGAGCATGGCGGCCATGGCAGAACCAGAGCTGCCACCGACAAGGAGACCCTCCTCGGAGATGAGTCGGCGAGCAAGGTGGAAAGACTCTCGGTCATCGGTCTTGTACCACTTGTCGACGATGTGCTGGTCGAGGACATCAGGGATAAAGTCGTATCCAATACCTTCCACCTTGTAACCTTCGTTGATGTGTTCCTGGTTAAGGAGCTCAGGCAGAGCAAGGATACTTCCGTGAGGATCGGCAGCGATGACCTTGATGTCCTGGTTGTGCTTCTTGAGACCGCGAGCAATACCAGTGATGGTACCACCAGTACCAGCACCAGCAACGAGAGCAGTGATTTGACCACCAGTCTGCTCCCAGATCTCCTGAGCGGTACCGAACTCGTGAGCGTTGGGGTTGTCCACGTTGCTGTACTGATCGAGGATGTGTGCGTTGGGAAGCTCCTTTTCGAGACGTCGAGCGACACCGATATGAGACTCGGGGGCGTCCCAAGCAGCCTGTGTAGGAGTACGGATGATGGTAGCGCCAAGAGCACGGAGGACGGAAACCTTTTCGGCCGACATCTTTTCGGGGAGAGTAATGATGGTCTTGTAGCCCTTGATGGCACCGACGAGAGCCAAACCGATACCACTATTCAACAGTCAGCAAAACAGTCGTAGATGCTTTCATTAGTGGTCTTACGTGTTTCCACTGGTAGGCTCAATAAGAGTATCACCAGGCTTAATTCTTCCGCTCTTCTCAGCCTCCTCAATCATGCGCAGAGCGATTCTATCCTTGACGCTACCACCAGCGCTGAAGAGCTCAGGCTTGACGTAGACATCGCACTCGATACCCAGCGACTGGGGGATCTTGTTGAGTCGAACAAGAGGGGTGTTGCCGATGAGTTCAGTCGCAGAATGGACTGTGGCAGCGCGAGGCAAGACGTGAGGAACCTGAGACGCCATATTTGCTGATTTCTATAGTTTGTATAGAGAGAGAAACAAAGAGAGGAAGACAAGAAAAAGAAAAAAGACCACTTTATTAATTAAATAAAAAAGCACGCCACGAGACGAAACGATTGTTTGCTGTGGCGGGGCAGACGGCGGTATGACAGACAGAAACTAAACTTTTTGCCCCGCCAATGCCGAGATTATCCTGTGGAAACCGTTCTAGAATTCGGCTAGAAAAGAGCCGATTAGGTAGGCGGTGACGGAAGAAAAAGCCGTTAGAGTTACCCGGTAGCTTATCGCCATAAACTTAAGCTTATTGGCATTGTTAAATGTCAAAGTGAAGAGGCTTGATGGTTTAAATGGTAAGTAATAGAAGCAACATGTTGTGCAAACTTAGACTTCCATGGTTACACAAGATGATATCATGAAAGTGTTTTACTAAATCACGTCATGATGTCCCATTATAACACTCTCATGATGTGAGAACAATCTGATTACCTGATAAACGACGAGACTTGGTCACGAACCATCCAACCTCTGCTATTTATCTTTTTATCCTAGTTTATCTAGCTCAGTAAGCAGACTATCACCATCCTCACAGCATTTCAAAAGTCCTTGAGCACTTTACAATAGTTCCTCCCGCCACTTACCCTCGAACCTATCACCATCGCCCCGGTCCTGGCTTCACCCCCGCATTTGTTTGTCCTCCCTTGTAGATCTTATCTTGACGAGCTGTCTATCAACATGGGTTGAGTGAGCACCAGTCGATGCCAAGACTTTTGAGTACTACGACCTGCCATTTTCGCATCCTCTGCCGATAGGCTAAGTCTAAGCTAGACAGAAGCTGGTGTTGCCTCTTGGAGTAAAGATGATGAGTGATTGATCATTGTAATTGGTCTATGTCATGGCTTGTACATCTTTTTTATCTATATAATGAAGGGTCTGTCGCATCTAGGATCTGCTCATCAGAGACGTTGAGAATCAATTGGTCATCATGAAGTTCTTCAATGCCCTGCTCTATGGAGCTCTCCTCTTCTCAGAGGTGTCAGCTACCAAGAAGTTGACGGCCAGTCAAGTCGAAGGCGACATTAAAAAGTCCAAGTAAGCAAACCTTCTCCTATCCAATCGTCAATTAAGCCTAACAACTATAGACTTCGAAAGACTCTTGTAGACCTCAACAACATTGGCAAGAAGAACGGAGGTAACAGAGCTTTTGGCTTCCCCGGCTACAAGGCTTCAGTCGACTACATCTACAAGGAGCTCAACAAGCACAAGAAATACCTCGACACTCATATCCAACCTTTCAACTACACCTTTGAGCAGACGAGGGATATCCAGGTGCGAGGACCTGACGGTGAAGATGTCTATGTCATCACTCTCATCTACAACGTCGGCACGCCTGCCGGTGGTGTAACTGCTCCTCTTGTCCTTGTACCAATTGATGATGAGCGCGGATCTGGATGCTTCGCCGACCAGTGGGAGGGTGTTGATGCCAAGGACAAGCTTGTTCTTGTCAAGCGTGGTTCGTGTGCCATTTCAGACAAGCTTAAGCTCGCAAAGAAGGCCGGTGCTCGTGGAGTTCTCCTCGTTCACAACGCTCCTGGTGAGGGTATCACCAGTGCTACACTCAGCGCTGAGAACCTCGAACTCATTGTTCCTGTTGGTGTCATTCCTCTTGAGGTCGGAACTGCTTGGAGGACGCGCATCGAAGGCGGCGAGTCGCTCGAGGTCACCTTGCTGGTGGACTCGTTCTACGAGACCCGTGAGACCTGGAACATCATTGCTGAGACAAAGCAGGGTGATCCTAAGAATGTTGTCATGATGGGTGCTCATCTTGACAGTGTCCAAGAAGGTCCTGGTATCAATGATGATGGTAGTGGAACAGCTGGTATTCTCGAGATTGCCAAGTCTTTCACCAAGTACACTGGTTACAAGAACAAGGTCCGCTTCGCTTGGTGGGGTGCCGAAGAGTAAGTAAACCAGCAACTCACACATTTGCCATTTACTGACACAGTTTACAGGAGTGGTCTTGCTGGCTCTTACTTCTATGGCGAGCAGTTGACTGAGAAGGAAGCCGACAGCATCCGATTCTACTTCAACTACGATATGATCGGTTCTCCTAAGCCCAAGTACTGGGTGCAAGCCAGCAAGCCCGCTGACAGAGTCGGTGGAGATATCCTCGCTGCTTGGCTCCGCAAGAAGGGCAAGACAGTTGAGTGGGAGTAAGTACCAATACCTTACCCCCAAAGCATGATACTTACAGAATAAACAGAGAGTTTGGTGAATCTTCCGACTACGCCGCCTTTATCGCCCTCGGTATCCCCTCATCCGGCATCTTCACCGGCGCCGACGAAGAGACCGACCCATGCTACCACTTGGCCTGCGACACCATCGACAACATCCACTGGGACGCTCTCACCCTCAACACCAAGACTGCTGGTCGTGCTGCTGCTCAGTTTGCGCTTAGTCTCAAGGGTGTTCCTGCGCGTGACAAGACTACTCCTAACCCCAAGAACAAGAGGGCTATTGCTGCTCGTTTTGAGCATTGGCAGAAGAAGAGGACACTTGCTAGCAACTCTCACAAGTGTAACCACAAGACCAAGGAGGTTGTTTAAGTATGGCGTGTATTTAGTTGGGGAGGGATGAGTGATGATGAGATGAGATGATGATGAATATTCGTGTATATAGTATATTTACATTTTCAGTATTATTTTGTGATTATTAAATGTTGTTTTAGGCATTATATCGTGACTCGTAGAGGAAAAGATCGCTCGCTCGTGCTATCGTGAACATCGTCAACCATTGACCATATAACCCGTGCGAAGATTCATCCTCCTCGTTCGCATCCCTTCCATCCGACAAGTGATGATTGCGCCTGTCATGCATCGTAACTCATTCGCATCTTAGAGCCCATAACATATCGTAGTTCATCACCGATAAGTCCTAGGAAGATTCTCTGGCCTCCTAGGGTTGGGAATAGGAATCGCTCTGTAAGTGGGAAACTTTGGTCCCCCAGGAACTTGCTCTCTGTGCGCCGCAGGGGGCGGATACTGCACCGGCGTAGGCCGATTAGTAGGAACAGGCACAGGTCTCGTCCAGTTCTCATGCGGCATCACAACCGACCAGTCATCCTCAGAACCAGAATAACTGCGATAACTCCTCCGTCTTTTGACTTGCTTTCTCGGTCGACGACAGCAACAGCATATCATGACGAAGGAAAGAATAAAAAAGCCAACGACAGCACCAACAATAGCTCCAATTTCAGTGCTGCTTAGACCATCGCCACTGTGCTGCGAGGTGACAGCAACGGGACGGTCCGTGGCTGCAACCGATACCACGCCTAGTGTGACGTGCGTGGTGTAAGTTGTGGAGGGGAGCTCAACTGTCTGAGTTATGACTTGGGCCTCTTGGCGGATGACCATATGGGGAACGACCATTGTGAAACAAAAAGTGAAGATATTCACAGAAAAGTGCAAAAGAAAAGAAAAAAGTTCGGGGGCTGTAAAGCCATATTTACAGAATTTCAAGCCTCCTGTCTCACACAGCAGGCAACCATTCCGCAAGACATAGAGTCTGCTGATGCTGGTGTCTAGCCCTTTGAGATGGGTTATGTGCAGCCCGAACTGGAAATTCCAAGATGCTGTATGAGATTACTAACCAAGTTGGTAAAGAAAAAAGACACTCGATGTAACTGTATCTGTATGCGTTGAATGGTCAGTTGGTACATGTTGACCAATAGTAACAAGATGATTGTTGAAGAGGGGGTGTGGTGATGCAGGCTGAGCCAGGCTGCCAAAGCTAACAAAGATGACTGCGTCGAATTTGCCTTTTTTGCGTTGTTTTTGTCTTTTACTTTTTGACATTATTGCTGTTTGGTGGTTCGCAAATGGTGTTTGTGGGTAGTGTTGTCTGTTGATGACTATATCGGTGACAGGTATTACTACCAAAGTACCGAAGATGATGTAACTTGCAACGAGACAGAGGTACAGGTGGTTTGACTGTTTTATAGAGAAGAGACGAGAACACGGAACCACGCTTACTATACAATACTTCTCACTATGGACTCTCTTGAACTAGGTCGAAAGAGACAGGTAATGCTAGGCTGACTCTAAAGATAAGCGAGACCGATGAATCGTATTTTGTGATAAGCTGGTGTGACAAGATCTCACCCAAAGTCCAAGAACATCTAACGACCTGGGAAATAATCGCCGATTAACTAACTTCCTGGATGACTCTATACTTAGTTGCCCATGGTCCTCTCTAATTGCGTCTCTTGTACTTCTTGGTCAATACGGCAAGAGCCATAACGTAACCTTTAACGTGATGCTCAACCTCAAATTTCTCCTTCACAAACTTGACCTTCCACCCATAATCTATCGTCCTTCGGGACCAGTACTCCTTGCATATCTCGTACCCCTCATATTTACTATCATACCACTCCACGACAACTTTTCGAAGATTAGGCGCACAGGTTTTAGCTTCAGCAAGAAATGCCTTGACCAAAGTTTCAGTATTGCATGGTCCGTTCGGCTTCTGGTAGCCAGGGCCATATTTGCTCCCGTTGTATAGATGGAGCGTTTCGATCGAGGCTGGTAGAACATCACTGAGACGCTCGTTAATCATCTTGGGCTTGTATGAGAAGTCCTCAGTGTTGAGTCCTAGGAGATCATGACAATCAATCTTTAGATGTCTCAGTTTCGTGAACTCGCGGAGTGTACCGATGTATCCCTCGAAACCGCTGTCGAAGTCGCTGCTTACGTAATTGAATGTTGAGACAGCAAGTTCTTCGAGATTACCTCCATACTCTCTAAGAACGTCTCCAAATTCTGCCAGATCAATACCAAAATCGTAAACTGGGTCAGGTGGAACGGGACCGTCTTGATCATCATCATCATCATCGTCGTCGTCGTCGTCGTCGTCGTCGTCTTCACTACTATAACCACTTCTATCCATGCGACCATAATGAAATCTTTCTAAGTCGAGGTCAATGGCATCCTCATATGTAGCCTTTTGAAACATGTCCGCCAAGTCGACGGACAGACTTTTCAGCTTAGGACAGCGTGTCATGATGGCTTTTAGGGTATTAGCGTCTATGATCGTCTCCTTGAGGTCAAGGCATTCCAGGTTGCTCTGGTAAGTCGGCCAGACGAACATTTGCTTCCCACCCATGTACCAGTCAATACCAAAGGTGCGCAATGTCTTGAGATTTGGGTTGAGAAAGATTGGCTTGATCAACCAGGCTGGGAGGAACTCTTGACGTATGTCTTCAGTCCTAAATCGCACTTCTTTCAAGTTGGGAAGGGGGCTGTGGTTCACAGAAATGTTCCTTAAAGCGCCTGTAAGGGCTTGTTGGTTGATATTTTGCTCATCGGGGCTGTTAGAGAATCCTACTTCTTCGTGATAAAGAAGAGAGCGGTCTCCCATCTTGCGCGTTTTCCACCATAGATCCTCGACGTCACCCTCCGAGCCCAGAATTCCGCTCAACATCCAGTGTATACTAGAGTCGAGGTTGGTCATAGTGTAGTCGATAAGCCGGACTTGGGGCGTGTGAAGCAGGAGAAGAGAAGCAGCATTACTAACACAGTTAGTGAGACACCTATTCAGGCGGCTTGCTAGACTCGGTTCTAGCTTCAAGTGACCCAATGCTCTCTCAAAATTGTAGCTTTTGTTTCCGCTCAATCCCAAAAACTTGAGCGCGCGGACGTTTCCTGCGAGAGTGGGATTGTTGTGTAGTATCCTTAGGAGTAAGTCATAGGGACTTGGGCCTGACTCCTGAAGACCGCAGTGGGCTATAATCGAGATGGACCGGTGCAGTGATTGTTGAGCGATACGTCGAAACTGACGGCTCACGAGACAAAGTGCAAACAATTCATCTCGGCCATATTTTGTCCTTTCCCACCTCTCACCAGTCCACTCATCATCATTTTGCCAGCCCTTCCGCTCCATAGGGCACTCGAGATGAGAAAAGATGTAACCCCATATTTCATCTATTATATGCATTGTGATGAAGTAGATTAACTAGAGGTGGAGGTAAAGGAGATGAGAGTAGAGGCCAAGAGGTCAAGAGCAGTGACCTGACAGTTAGAAAGCACAAGCCCCCGCACACCATCTTATTCCGCCTGTTGGTATCTGGTTACCCCTGCAATTACAAAGTAGCCCCGAGTCTAATGAAGAAGGATATTCGTATGCCTTTTAGAAGTTATACTATTTGAAGATGTTCTTAGCATTATATTAAAGACACCGAAGTCATGTGTTACTATTCTTTTTAATAGATTAAATATTATGTAGCCCATAGTTGTATATATAAATCATCAAACGAAGCTTGCTCAATCATCAATACTGACCATCAAAATCATAAAACATTTCAACGTTGTTCTTACAATCACACCTGAAGACCTCCTGAAGGCAATTCTTGAACAGTCGTCGTATGTCCCTCTCAAAATCCACATCCTCGTTCTCTAGTTCGAAACAAAGCATAAAACACCGAACAATGAGTTGCCAGCATTCCTCAAGATAACGATCCAGCTCAGCCTTGTTTTCAGGATGAAGTGGCTTCCCGTCAACAGGTAGACTTCGTGTAGGGATATATTCTGCCCTTGAGAAAATATCGTCGGCTAGCTCTGCTGGTAGGCCCGTTTGATCAATCATCCATCGGACGTGAGGGACGTCGTTTAGATGAGGTTGATAAGAGACTGGTTTCTCAAAGTTGAGAAACTCGTCGTAGGTCATTAGTCCGTATGGGTAGAAGTTCAACTTGTAGGCATAAGGGTTGAGGGGCTCGGAGTCTATGTCCCATTCGGGATTCCTGTCACGCATCCGGGACACATAGGAATCATCTACCTTGAGAGTATGCTTCCACCGAGATATGTCGTATGGCCTTGGCCAGAGCCTGAATTGCTCGTCTTGGATGCCAAATACGTCTCTGTGAGGATATGTCGCGATCTCGCACCCTGTGGATATCGTACAAAGCCGTATGGCCCTCTGGTATGACGCGAGGTTGCGGTAGTCGTCGATAGGTGAACCGTCGTCCGTCTGCCACGTTTCCGGAAAGCAGTAGAGGATGTTGAGATTTAGATACATTATGACAGCATACTTGCATATCATATTCCATCCCAGATCGAAACCCTCACACATGCATGGACCATTTTCCCACCATTTATGCAGATAACACTCATCGGATGAGCAGACTTGTAGTATGGGGTCCATTTCTCCGAGGAGTATCAATGCCTTGACGAATTTCAGATTGTCATACGCCTCGCCGTTTTGCGCATAGAACTGGAAACAATCGTTCGGATAGTAATCTCGTTGGAACGCCGCGAGTTGACGCTCTTTGAGTGGCAGTACGCATTCGCACTTGTCAGAATCATTGACATGCGGGCATAGTAGTCCTTGCTCGAATTTGGCTGATACAGAGCCATCTTTATCTTTGGGATACCAGCGTCGGACTTTTGGTGTGATCTTATCGACCAATTTGTCCGTCAAAATAACTTGATTCTCTGGAGGATTGTCGTACTGCATTCGTATACTTTCGTCTTGTTCTTCACCAGTCATGCTCCTCAAAAAGATGCCAGCGTCGAGAGGGTCGTATTTTTCAGGGTATTTCTCGCGCTCTCGTCGCGCATCCAAAGACGCAGTTTTGAAGAAGGCGTCAAGAAATTTGGATAACTTTTGTGATGTCTCTGGTTCATCTCGTGGATGCAGGTTGAGAGCATCGTGCTGACAGGGGTTGGTAGGCTTCAAGTCAAAGACTGAAGCCAAAGTTTGCCAAGGCAATCTTTCAGCTTGATGGGCCATTTTGTATACGGAATTGTTAACTGTAATGACAACAATTAATGAGGGGATCGTGAAGCATATATAGTCTGTGTTGAGTGACTGCGCCGAGCTGAGTTAACTACGCCGTAGGCGGCTAAATGTGAATAGAGGCACGTAACGTGCCCAACGATACAAGTGAAGGATGCGCTTGCAGGTAAACGACAAAAATACGAGGAGCGAGGTGAGTCACATCAATTAAGACGCCTTTTGATATTATAGGCAGTGAAATGGTTGCGATTATAACCTCGTTTTAATTATCTTAGTGCCTAATTACAGAGTAACAAAGAAAGAAATGGTTAAGAAAAGTTCTAATTAAGAAAGACCAAATAATTAGGTGCATCGTGTCGTGTTTACTGTCCGTCCTTTTTACCCCACCGCTGCCTTACTTCCTTCAAATACACCAACGCTCAACCAAGACTCCTCGAACATCATCCAGTACATTAAAGTCAAGACTATCTTGACGGAATGCGACAATAATCATGTTAAAGTCACGTTCCAGCGCTTCAACAGTCCAGTTCGATTCGGGCAGGCGCTCGATCTGAGGCACAGCCTCCTGCGCCACCAAAGGGTCAGCCCAAGCGACGTCGACCTTGTTTGTCTTCACCAAACTCTTTGCCAACTCAAGACCAGGCGAGTTTGCAAGATGAGACTGTCCACGCTTGAAGCCAATCCCGACAACGAGAACGCGGGGCTTTAATCCAGTCCTGGCACTGTTGCAAAGACGCGAGACAGCACGCTGTGCAATCTCAGCTGGTCGGGCGTGCATCTTTTCAGCAGCAGCCCGTAGGAAGGGGAACTGACTGTTGGATAGAAGATACCATGGGTTGACGGGGATGCAGTGTCCGCCAACTCCCAGACCTGGTGAAAAAGGCAGATAGCCAAAGGGCTTGGTGGAAGCTGCGCGACAGACCTCGTACGGGTCAATGCCATGTGAACCGCAAGCGTCGGCCATCTCGTTGGCATAGGCGATGCAGACCATACGCTGGCAGTTTTCGTACAGCTTCATCATCTCGGCGACTTCTGGCTTCGATACAGGAACGACATTGTCAAAACTCTTAGAGTAAAGGCGAATGATGGCATCCAGTGACCCAGGCACAATGTCGTCAAGCCCAGACACAATTTTGGGGATGGAATGCGCTGGTGGTTCGACCCGACCTGGGTCAACGCGCTCCGGAGACATGCCAGCATAGAAACCGCGTTCTTTGGCCAAGGAACCAAGAAGACCTCGTGTCATTCCCACGGCAACTGAACTCTCAACCACGACGACTGCACCCTGACGTCCATACATCCTGACGACGTTGATGGCACTTTGGAGGAAAGATGAGTCGATGGTTTTGTTCTCAAGAAGAAGAGTTGGCACTGAGATGAGAAAGTGAGTGGCCTCGGCAAGGTCTGAGGCTTTACTTGTGAACCTCGCACGACTGCCGACATGTTGTTTCTGAGTCAAATGAAGTGTCCTGGCTTCTGATACATCATATCCAAGGACATCGTGATTCCTCGAAAAGACATCAACAAGATGTTCGCCGACATAACCAACACCGATGACAGCCACAAGTGGTTCAGCAGTTGTGTCGATACAGTTTGTCACGACGTCTTGGAACACATCTTCAGTCTCAGAGATCTCACTGGGAGGTGTGATGTCGTAGTATTCTCTGCTGGAGAAGTTCCATGACTTTGTGTCTGACTGGTGGCTAACAAAGGGTAGCCCCTGGACGAGGAGACTTTTTGAAAGAACCTGGGTCATGATGGTAACGATCGACAAAGTAGCGAGTGATTGGAGTGGAGTGAAGAGAGGTCCGGAAAAACCATTGGGGCTCAACAGCAGCATATGTATCCATCCGGGCAACTCCAGGCTCGTATCGAGGATATCGATCGACTCGTCCAGACATCATAACACATACAGACACACGGCCGGTTAATCCAGAGCTGTGCCGTCTTCCCTCTCCCCACGCCAGCTCAGTGCCCGTACTGGGAGGCGTCAGGCCTCAACTCGAGGGGACTTTTTTCTCAAGCTACCTCGATACCCCAGGGCGGGAGCTTGGCCCCAACGACTGGAGTACTTGCTGCCCCTGACCAGCTCAATCATACGAAATGCATCCAACCACGCAGGATCTTCACATCACCGCAAACAACATCCCATCTACTGTTGAGAAATCAAAACGAAACCCGAAACTAGTAACCGCCACCTCGCAACTCTGCCTAGAAAAGAAGGAAACCTTGCTCAGAACCATGAAAGCCTCACGAATTCCTTGGTCACTCCCCTGTATGCCATGCAAGGACTCGACTAGGCTAGAAACACTGCATCTCTTTCAGCTAACGTGCCCGAACTGTCATTTCTCTTTTAGCTCAGCCCAGATGTTGCACAGAGTAACGAGGGTTTATCCCAGGTCCAGGTCCAAGGATGATGAATTTGGGTCTTTACATGTAGATGCTGTCCAAAGTAAGGAAGCAAGTTCCCATTCCCGATCGATTAGCGCGTGAGGATTCTTCCAGCCGCGCGGAAGCTCACATAAGAAGCAATGCTAGAATGTCTTGAACTGATACAATTCATTTCAAGACTTTGATCTGAGACTTGCTTGTATCCGATGAGACATAGCTCAAGCTTGCGGGCTGACGAGTATGTCTTTCCGATGCCAAGACAGCCTTGCAGATGTCCATGATTACCAATTTACCCGTAAATTCATTTTTAAATCCGACATAGGTCTATCGGTACATCAGAGAGCCATGGCTTAAACCCCCTGTGATACCGGTCAAGACGGAAGAGCACCCTAGGAGTAGATCTTCGAGGTGCATAAAATGTGGCGCCCAGGGGACATGCTGCAACATCAACCCGACAACGGCAAACGGGAACGCTCATCAAACTTGGCAAGGCTGCCAATTCGTTTTTACAGGGAATGGTGACGCAATACTGCTGTAGTTCAGCTGAAAAAAGCATGTTGGCAGAACACGTCAATCACTCATCTGCCCGAAAGCATTAAGCTCAAGATTTCCCGCAGTGTTCCAAGGAATACTTTTAATTCAATGTCAATTCGAGAAAACTCTTGTTGATTGGACAACTCCAGATAAGCAGCTTACTTTTGACTAGTTGTAAGGTGTGGTACGACGACGCACAAGAAAGAAACAGAAACTGGTCAATCAATACGAGTCTGCCAATACCAGTCGGATAATCGGACTCGAAAGCTTGAGAAAAAAAAGAATGGATAGCTGCATGTGCCTTGCATTAGTGTTTTCCCAGGAATCATATTGTTTCTCAGTCACTCTTTCGACTTGAAGCTTTTTGCCGGTTGATGAAAAGGTCCGAGTGTGATAAGTGACAGTCTTATCAGTCATGGTGACGAATTTATTGGAAGTATACTGCAATATTGTCTGCACATTGGAAGTATTCTCCACCGTCGTATATGCCCAACGCATGGTCTACTCCAAAGAAAACAATAAATCAGAGACAGGCCTCACCTGATGATGGCTGGCGGCTGATTGTCAATGTTGCTTCGACGTGGATCTTTACAGTCTGTCTATGGTGGGCATGGTCTGGGATGGAGGTCCAGGATATCGGGCTAGTACATCCAACACAACCTGGCTGGTTGTAGCCTTCTCGTGTTCAATCTATGCAAAGACTTTTGGCGTTCGATACGTCTGATAGTTTGAAATTAGTTATTGTTTAGCTGAAGGAAGCTGCAGTCATGCACGGCCGGCCTGTCTAAGTCAAACCCATGTAGATAAAACTCTGTCTCCGCTCAACGGGCTTCACTACAATTAAACTCTGGCCGCTCACATCTCCCTTCCGTGCTTTACAATCATTTTTGTATCATTCATTTTGCACCCCGTCCTTTTGTTCTCGATTACTGCATTTCACAATGAAGAACAGCTGTTCCATCACCCTTGCCTCCCTGCTGTTGCATGCAGGGGCTGCTCTCGCAGGACCTGTTCTTGCAGTCGACGACATTCTCTCGCCGCGGCATTCGAGGCTGAGAAAGCGTGCTGAGTGTGGTCCTGGGATTGGCTCGTGCAATGCTGGATCCTGTTGTTCGGAGAGTGGCTTCTGCGGAACGACGGGTGACTTTTGTGGTGGCTCGGCTTGCCAGCTCGAATACAGTGATTCTTGTGATACTTTGTAAGTCTTTTGCCTCAATATTGAAATCGGCAATGGGGAATTGCAAAGTCCGAGCTCTGCAGAGCATGAAAGGCTGACATTGAACCAGTTTCGGACCGAGTGGAAGCAGCACGGAGAGCATTTCTCGACCCAAGATTGGCAGTGTTCCCTATGGTATGTATTGAATGCCTGATTGCATCATAGTGATGCTTACGGAATCTCTGTAGGAAGCATCATCAAGACCTGCACTACCCCTGGTGTGGTTGCTCTTACTTTTGATGATGGTCCGCTCACCTACACTAATGACATTTTGGACCTCCTTGACTCGAAAGATGTCAAGGCCACGTTTTTTGTTGCTGGTAACAACAGGGCTAAGGGCCACATGGACGACTCTTCTAACCCATGGCCAGCTGTGATGAGGCGCATGCACTCTGCAGGCCATCACATTGCCAGCCACACCTGGACCCATCGAAACCTCAACACGGTCAACAGCACCATCCGAACTTCTGAGATGATCTACAATGAAATGTCTTTTCGCAACTTGTTTGGCTGGATCCCGACTTACATGCGTGCCCCGTACCTCGAGTGCAACGCTGGATCGGGTTGCCTAGCTGAGATGTCCAGACTCGGATACCATGTCGTGGACCAAAACGTTGACACAAAGGACTACGAGAATGACAGTCCTCAGCTGATCCAGAACTCCAAGAACAGGTACTCTGCGGGCATCTCTACCAACTCTGCCAGCAACCAGTACATTGTTCTAGCTCATGATGTTCACGACCAGACCGTGCACAACTTGACTTCGTACATGATTGATACAGCCCGCAGCCGTGGATACAGACTTGTCACTGTTGGAGAATGTCTTGGTGACCCTCGGTCGAATTGGTACCGAACAGCCTCGCGAGACCAAGATGTCACCAGCACTTCGACTGCGGCTGCTACACAGACTGTACCACCCACTACAGTAACCTCAACCACCAAGGCTACGGCCACAGGTGGGCTTGTCATTTCGCCCAACCAGCGATGCGGTGGTGACACTGGCTACACTTGCCAGGGGTCTGCATTTGGCAGCTGCTGTTCATTCTATGGTTATTGGTAAGCTTGTTTTCTTTTCTTTTTGCCTCCCCGGGTACAGGATCATCCTTGTTAACGTTATTCTTAGCGGTTCGAGTGCGAGCTACTGCGGAACAGGCTGCGACGCCGACTTTGGAACGTGTACGCCTCCTTCAGGTGGTGGCATCCACGACACTACAAACGGCGTCTGCGGCTCCGAAGTCAATGCGTCGTGCAGAAACTATGGATCCAAGACGTGCTGCTCTCAGTACGGATACTGGTAAGTACCTCCTATCGTAAGATGGATGAGTCTCACTAACAATCACCACAGCGGTAATAGCGCGACTCACTGTGGATCTGGATGTCAGAGTGGCTTTGGTACGTGCACTTGAAGACGAACAATCTACCCGTCAATAGTGTGATATCTCGGGGGATCCATCCCGGTGTGACTAGGATGGGAGAGGCTTGCGGAGGTTTGGGTAATACGACGGAAACGCTACTAGTATTTACTTTCTTATCCTTGTTTGAAAGGATTAATGTGTCACTTTGTGGGCGCGTATTATAGGATGAGACGTTTGATTGCTTTAAAAGTTAATATATATTGTGTCTGATTTAACCGGGAATATCTGTTTGATCTCAACTCGACTAATCTCGATTGATCAACATGACTTTAAATTTTAGTTTGCATTTGCTTTCTCAACAAATTGTCGATCGGCATTCATGATCTGATGTCTTCAACTCAAAACATACGTGGCACGGCCGCAAGAAAAGCGTGGATATACATAAATGTGACTCGAAAGTTCCTGAAGCTAGACTTGATCAGTGACTTGCACTGAGAGAAAAGAAAGAGAAGGAGAGAAGAAAAAGTCGTATTAACACGTCATGATGAGATACATCGTAACTATTGTTTCACTTCCCTGCAATGCATCGCCCAAAAATATCATCGTCCAACCAACCACTGTACAGTCCGGTGCAGTGGGGGTAGCTTTACAGGTTCACAGATGAAAAGAAAAGACCTGCGGGCTGGTATTTACGGCGACGGCTACGACCCGAAGGGTTACACGGCTTATCGGGACGAAATAAAATAAGCAAATATTCGGCACACACGAGGCAACTAAGAGACAGGGGCAAGGATAGACCAACAGGGGTAAGATCAGGTACAGGGAGAGACTAGTCTAGGCAAATCGGGTAGCGTAGATCATGGTGCAGAACTAAGAGGCAGGACAAAAAGTGTGGCTTGTATATTTACGTGTTTGAGTTTTTTTTTAAATTGCCGTATAATGTCATTGATGGTGGGCTACTGCAGGTCCAGGGTATGACCAGACGAGGTGAGGCGACATTGACCAGGGGAATAAGAATGATAGGCTCATTGGGGGTGATGTTGAGGGTAGGTTATTTTTGGAGTGTCATTAAGCTGTTGTGAATGCAACTCTGAGGGTTACAACCCATACTTGGAAACATGTTATAGTTCAAGACTTTGATGTTTTATGTCCAACTTACACTTACAAGCCAACGTAGACTTGAACAATGGTATTGTTCTATACAATAGCATATCTTCACTACCGACTTTTCATCTTATCTCAATGACCAGTCACTCTAATCCTTGATCGAGATCAACTGAATAAATTCCTATTCAAGAGTCGAGGCCTTACCAGACCGTATTTCACAGTTGTCAATACATACATTCAATAGTCTGTTATAAACTATGGTATAAGCCGTGCTGATTATTGCATCTTTCGAGTAAAGATCGCGATCATCGACAAGCTTTATCCCAGCAACACGGAGCCAGCGCATACCCCATGAATATGTACGGCAATTTACCCGTGATATACAGCCGCCAAACAGTAAAACAGTGAGTTGAGTTTCGGGAGGAAGAAAAAAGAAGGATCCGCAGTGACACCAACCAGGGGTTATCAGATGCCAGCATCCTTGACTGCATTTTCTCCCAGCCAAGCAAAATTACAGCATCCCTGGCACGAATCATCTCTTCCTTGCAAAAATAGAACTTCTGGAGTAAGCTGAAGCTTTGTATATGCAGAGCTGAAGGCAAGGAATCGTCGTCGATCTCTCAATACTTCCATGTTCCTTGCTATCCTATCCTATCATGAACAGCACGTTTGTCTTTTTTCCACGGAAAAGAAAAAAAAACGCCTCCTCTCAGCTAGTTCAGTAAAAGAAAGTAAGAGGCGTCGTTGCATATCCCGCTTTTGGACCAGCAAAACGGTCTGTTGTTGTCCTTGCTTGCTTCTCTCTTCATCGTGGCGTTGGAGAAAGCAAGTTTAGGACTGAGATTGAGATGCATAGGCGGGGATACCGTCCGTACCGGCCACCCTCGTATCATTTAGAGCTGTGCTGTCGTGCTATGCGGAGTCCCTAAGCAGACTATGTGAAAAGAATTGGGAAACAGACGGTTAGTTTGGTGAGGCGCATCCTGTATCCGTGAGCAAGGTACATACATACACTCAACAACTAGCTAGTGTGATGAGGCCTGATTATTGCGCTTTGTTGTTTGTACAGGGGTTTGGTTTTGGAGGCGAACTTTTTTCTTTTACTCTGGTAGACAGAGAATCTTGCTATAGCTTCATTACCCCCCGGTTTTATCTGCTGTCTTTCCCTAGATCTCTGGTAGCTCATCACTCACTTGTCTCTCTTGGATATCAGTGTTGAGGGGAATCTTCCTTCGCTTGGTCCTTGGCCTTGTCACTCGCTATTGTCTCTCGTTATTATCGTTGACTTTACTTGGAAAGTTTTGATATTGTTTTCATTGCTACCGTGAGTATACTTACATGGAGTTATATAATGTTCATGCACTAATGGTTTCAGATTCGATCCTTTTGTCAACCATCAGCATTCAAAATGGCCAGTCGAATGCCTACCAGTGGACACAGGGCGTCGTCTTCCTCTTCGGAGAGAGGAAACATGTCTGTCCAGCAAGGAAAGAAGCCTGTTGTCCCAGGCATGTCAACCGATGACTCCAGGCCATCCACTTCTCATCCTCAAGTACCCCCGAACCCTCTTCGACCTGGATGGACCTTGTCTAGAGACTCTGTAAGTTAAATCAGCTACACCCATAATGCATCCAAATCTAACAGAATGTAGTCTGTTGTTCGAGGCATCAATGGCGACTTCCATCCTGGTGCCCAAACCCCCATGTCGGGCATGACCCATGCATCATGGCTCACAAACAACGGCAACGAATCGAACCTCTCCTTCACTTCGTCCATCATGCAAGAAGAAGCCAAGCTACGCTGGGATTCAGATGAGGAACTCAAGAAGATGTCCAAGAGCATGCTCCGTCTTCAGAAATGGAGTCTCATCATCGGTCTTGCTGGCATCAACGGTGCTCTCATCTACATCGGTTGGAAGTATTACCAGGTGTACTACTTCTTCCTCGTCCTTCTCAGCTCCAACACCGTCTTGCAGTCCTTCATGTGCATCTGTATCATTCTACACTGGTTCTGTACGCGCGTGTTGTGTTTTTGGTGGCGACCCAAGGAGAATATCCCTGCTGAGCCGGAAAAGATGGTTATGCTTTTGCCTTGCTACAACGAGACATATCAGGAGTTGACACGCTCGCTCGATTCTCTGATTACGCAGAAGCATATTGATAATCACCCTCGTGTCATCTTTATCGTTGTTGATGGCAATGTTCGTGGTCCAGGCATGGAAAAGACTACACAGGAGTATCTCCTCCAAGATATCCTCGAACCAGGTCCATCACGAACCTTTGAGAACGGCTACCGTGCTCGAGACGGCCTCTTCATGCCTGTAAAGACTCAGACTGGTTTCTACAAGGGTATTCCCTACGTATTTGTCGGCAAACGCTACAACCAGGGCAAGCGAGACAGTCTCTGCTTTGCGCGATCTCTTCTGTACCACTTCAAGCAACGCTCAGAGAACGTGGTCACCATGTTTAACAATGAGTTGTTCGAGTACATCGGCAATAACTTCATTAACGCTGGTCTCGATGATGTCACTTATCTTTGTGGTATGGACGCCGACACTGTGTTTGACGAGGACTGCGTCTACGAGATGATCAAGGAGATTCGCAAGAACCCCAAGCTTGTTGGTGTTTGCGGTCATGTCTGTGTTGACTTTGACGGTAGTAACTGGGGTTACTGGTCTCTGTACCAATCCGTCGAGTATTCGCAAACCCAGGGTCTTCGTCGTATGTTTCAGTCGCGCATCACTGGAAAGGTCAACTGTCTTCCTGGATGTTGTCAGCTCATCCGTGTTGATGAAGCTACGTTTGGTGATGCTGTTCTTCGCGAGAGATTTGGTTACTGTCCCAAGCCCAACGATATCATGACACAACATATCATGGGTAACTACTCTGAGGATAGTATTCATGCGTCGATCATCTTTAGTCTTTTCCCTGGCAAGCAGACTGCTCAGGCTCTTCGCGCCAAGGCTATGACTATTGTTCCTCAGGACTGGAAAGTCTTTCTGTCTCAGCGCAAGCGTTGGGCTTTGGGCAGTATCTCCAACGAATTCGTCATGATCTTCCGCCCTGGTATCATCCTCATTGAGCGTCTTCAGAGTCTCATCGCTGTTATCACCTGGGCCATCACACCTTTCATCATCGCTGCCTTTGTCGAGCTTCTCATGGTGTTTGCCAAGCGTGGCAAGGAAGTCATGTCAGACCCCGTCTTTCTCGGTCTCATCTGTGTTTTGTTCTTCCGTTATGTAAGTTCCGTCCGTCTGTATATTATCTGCAACAAAAGACTAACGTTTGCTTTTCCAGCTGTACTCTTTCTGTATCGGCTTCTGGTTACCGCGCAACAATCTCGAGCGAGCGCAGTACTTTGTAGGCTACGTTATGCACTTGTTCACATCGCCATTCATGAATATCATCATCCTGGTTTACTCTCTTTTCCACTCCGATGACTTCAAATGGGGCAAGACTCGTGAAGTTATTCGTGGCGATAACGAAAAGGATACTGATGATGCTGGTGGTCGAGGAACACACTAAACAACAATGCAATTGAGTTGCAAGTCTTTCACTTCTTGGTTTCAATATTGAATTTGGATATAAAGATTAGGGGGCGAGGGAAAAGTAAATGGGGGCTTGAACATACGATCTCGCCGGTCACATATTAATGTATATTTCTACACTTTATGATAGAAGGACCTAACTCTTGGGTTTTATGAGAGAATATGAGCACTACTATTACCTCTGAGCACGCATGAATTTATTCTTGATGGATTGGAGATGTAGACTCTTGGAGCATTTATGATTGGCGTTCGGACAAGAGAGTTGCCATGAGATACTCAATACGTTGTGACTCTGGTAGCTGTAAATGATCAATACCATTTCGATTTATGATGGAGTATTCAATCTAGATGGGACTACCGTGATATGCGTTATAACTTCCTACTGTTACAATAGAATTGGCTTCAACTCGGCTTAGACATGCAAGTCGGAGCTCCTCCCGAACCAACTCCGAACCCCCGCAATAGCTTCTCCCATTCTCACAAACCCCAAACAAACACTCCATCATCAAACAAACTCTTTATCATCAAAAATGTCGCTTCCAATTCTAGATCACTTCGCAATTCTGGTCTCATACCAAACCCTCCAAACCGTCACAGAAAACCTCAAAGACTCTCTCCTCGTCATTGACGGCGGCGCCCACGCAGATGGTCTCACAGTAAACAAACTCATCCATCTCGCCGACGGTACTTATCTCGAATTCATCGCTTTCGTAGAGGGCGTCGACCCTGAAAAGCGCCGTGCTCATCGTTGGGGAAATCTCCAAGAGGGCAAGATTGCTGATTGGGCTCATACTCTCAACAGCGAAGCCGACTATGCTGCTCTTCGAAAGAGAGTCGCTGATGCTGGGAATGGGGTTACGTACGGTGATCTCACTTCTCTTCAGAGACACAGACCTGATGGTGTCTTGATGAAATGTCTTGTTTCGGTGGCTCTTAATTCAGAGGGTAGTCGAATCTTTCCGGGGACGATTCCTTTTTGGTGCGTTGATGAGACGGAGAGACATCTGCGGTCACCATTCAAGGCCGATGGTGGTCATGGGTTACATGAATATACAAAGCATCCTTCTCATGCACAGAGTGTATCAAAAGTTACTGTTCTACTGCCAGAGAAGGACATCGCGACGTACAAACCGATTTACGACGCTATTCACGATCAAAAGGTTGCTGAAGGAAATGAGTACTCATGGCCATATGATCTCCCTGCTGGGCCCAACGTGGGAAGCAACAAGGTTGTTTTATCGAAGCTCGAGGGTGGAAACGGCAAGGCGGAGATCAAGTTGACACTTTTGGGAACAAAGGATAGTCCCAAGTCTATTGAGCTTCTTCCTGGACTGACGGTCGACTTTGAGCAAGTGGCATAGACGTATAGAGTGGACATATGCAGCATCCTGTCGATAAATATGTCTAATTAGAAATCACAATTCCAACACTTTCACTGTGAACTCTTTATTTTTGACAAGGGTGATAGCATCTAGAATAATACGTGAATAACATCAGCTTACACCTCTTCATGGACTGATCCTTCGAGACCCCAACTCTCCCAACATGACCAATTACCAATTATGTATACAGACTGTTGGGGGAGGTTAAAATTGCAGTGAAGCTTGCACCTTCAAAATCTATGAAAAGGATTGGTTCGCTTTGTATCTGTACCTTACCTTAATGCTAAAGGAAATAAGCACTAATAGTACAGTCAACACTAATAAACCCACGCTGCTGTGCTGTCAGCTTCACAAGATATAACCAGCCAAAGATGGCCTTATGGGACATGCCGTTCATTCCGAAGCAGTATATAAACTAGCATTCATGTACCTAGAGGTTTTATGATCAAAGAAAGACCGTTGTTCTTTTTTACTCTTCTATCAACACAGCCAAAATGACTACTCTCTATAAGCAAAGTATCCCCGTCCTGGTCAAGTACCTAAAGAACCTCTCTTTCATGCTCCAAAAAGGCGCCAAGTTCTGTGAAGAAAAGAGTATAAAACATGAAGACATGCTATCATACCGTCTCATTTCTGACATGAGAGGGTAATTCCAGTCTCATCTCAAACTTACGAGGTCCTGCTAACTTCCGTCAGTCTTCCTTTCCAAGTCCAATCCTGCTCCAACACAGCAAAATTCGTCGCATCACGCTTCGGCGCCCCAAACGTCACAGTTTTTGAAGACAATGAAGAAACATTCGAACAGCTCCAAGACCGCATCGCCAAAACAGTTGAGATTCTAGAGAGTGTAGAGCCAGATCTCATCAACGGTAAGGAAGATGTCGAGATCCTCGTCGAAGCCAAGATGGGCACTTTTCGCTTCACTGGAGAGAGGTATATAAACGAATACGTCATTCCAAACTTTCACTTTCATCTTACTTCTGCATATTGTATCATGCGTACTCAAGGTGTTCCTCTGGGTGCTTTTGATTACTTGAAGGATGTTTTTGAAAAGGTTTGAGTTGAGTATGCAGACAAGAGAGGGTATTCACCAAAGGGGGGCGGGATTTGTCCGCGGAGGAAATGTCCCTAAAACAGCTCAATTCAAATGGCTAGACTTACACAAAAACACATAAAAACAAATATCTTATAAGAAGAATACTTATTCACTATATCTCAAAATGTCTGAACCACCTTCAACTCGCGTGCAGACCCCAGATATCGACTCCTCCCAAGCGGTGCGAACCACCCACGTCCAATCCCTCATGGACCGTCTACGCAGCAAAAGTCCCATCTACAAATTCATAATGGCCCCAGCGCAACTCATCGGTGCAAGCCAGGGCATCGTCACCACGCGCATGATACTAAACGAGAATCACCTGAACAGCAGCGGAAGCCTGCACGGCGCTGTATCAGCTACTATCATTGACTTTGTCACTGGTCTGGCCATTGCGAGCTGGGATCTAAGAGAGACAACTGGTGCAAGTGTGGATATGCACATTAGCTACGTCAGCACTGCGCGTTTGGGGGATATGGTAGAGATTGTTTCAACGGCGGACAAAGTCGGTGGAAGCGTTGCGTTTTCGTCGATAAAGATTTCCAAGGTTGAGGCGGATGGGACGTTGAAGCTTGTTACGCATGGACAGCATACAAAGTATGTCAAAAATTCACAGCCAAAGGCCACATTAGCATAATGCACAAAGAAACCTGAATAGAATAAAAGACTTGTTTTCGCTTTGAACTCCAGAAACCCCTTGGCAATGACAATGATAATGTCCAACCTAAACTTAAGAAATCTTTCTGTTGATTAAGATGCAAAAATCCAATAGCTCTCTTGAGCTTGTTCGCTGTGGTCCCAGTATCCCATCTTTCAAGCAACTCCGAGTATATCTCCCATAGTATTACAGTACAAAAGAGAAAAGAGGTCCAGTACGCGCCAATAACATAGAATACGGCGCTGCTTACTCGGCACGCGAACCGCTGCTGTGACGGGCGCGCTTTCGGGCGCTGCTGGTGGCAGGGTGCATCTTGTCGTTGCGCTCTCGCTTGAGCTTGCCGTCCAAGACACGAGCTGATAATTATTAGCATAAAGTCCTTCCACGGGAATGTCATCACACATACTGAGAACATCGTATCCGAATTGGGGGTGCTCCAAGCACAGAGCCTTGAACTCGGCCTCTGCCTCGGCACGAAGGGTATGCGAGCGCGTAGCCCAGAAGCTCGCGACAGGAGCGCGAATTGTGATATCGTCGTTGTTGGTAAAGGAGTAGACGTAACGAGCGTATGCGATCTCGCCCTTGGCTGTTGAGTTGACGCAGTGGATCTTGGAGCTGGAGAGTGTCTTGAGGCCGTCGACGCCAAACTTATCGGCGAGGGTGTAGATGCGGGCGTGCTTGAGGAGCTGGTCGCCGCTGTCGTCGACGGCGGGGATCGCGGAGTCGGACTCGAGGACGCGCTGGCCGGGGAGCTTCTTGGGGAAGTACTCGCCAGTATAGAGGTACTCGAGGAAGCTTCCGACAGTGTCGATGTCGTATTCGGGGAGCTCAATCTGACGGGGCTGCAGGGAATTAGAATGGATTGAGTTTAAAACGTCGGTTTACTAACGCTGCCGTCCCCGACAAAGGCGTCACAGATATCCTTAAAGTAAGGACTTTGTGTCAAAAGGCCTTGATGCGCTGAGAGGATAGATTGATCACTTGAGCCGATGAGGAGAGTGACGATAGGGCTCATAAGGTAATTGGCAAATGTAATTCGAGGCTTGGCGACTTCTTCGACAAGCTCAAGCGCTGTTTCGTCTGCATTCTCGTTCTTCTCGGCCTCGCCATTGTGGGTGTCTTCTTGGGTATTCTCTAGTGATGTCTCTAGCGTGTTCTGGGCGGTCGCGGTCATCTCGACGTCGCCGGTAGGCTCCACCGAGTCTTCATGCTGATCCGGAGGCATGATTTCGATTCTGAAGGAAGAAATTTTGAATGAAGGGAGCGGCCACCGCGCCGCTCGGTGAAAAACGAGTGGAATTGGGAATAGTTGCAAGTAATCGTGGTTCAGCGCGTGTGACGTGACGTACCGAAACACGATATTCTATTAAAGATCATTAGAGCAGTTAGGCGCTAGGCTGTAAGTGGAAGCGAGCTTGAGTACTGGTTGGAAGCCTTACGCGCAAGGCATCAATACATCTCATCATGGCTACCCTGGACCTATTGTCAATTAGGCCTACCAGAGGAGGGGGACGGACTCACCTTTAGCACTCCGTATCACGAAACAACCGCTATCGGCCTGCCCCGCCCCCACCAACAGGTGAGTCTACAATTGGCAAATGATAAAAAGTGAGTCCGAAGCAAACACCACCAAGTAGTACTAGTGCATCCATCTACCAACAGACAATCTTCCATTGTTCTTCTTTCTTTGTTCTCAAGCCACCAGAATACCAGCTTGACCATTGAGCCTTGAATTATAAGAAAGGATGTGTGCAGCACAGGTAAGAACAGTCTCATTGTTGCACTCACCGTCCTTCATTCTACAGCCATGGATTATACTAATCTTCTCCGCCAGCTCGATATACGGCCAACTGCCGATGAAGCTCGAAATGCTTACAACCAAGAATGGACGCCTTCTACTCAACCCACGCTTCTTCCCGTTTGCGCATCCGCCCCTGCCGATTTATTGACTCCCTCTGCTATCTATCTGAAGCTATCCTCGGGGTAACGAACCACAGTACTTTCAGCGTTGAACCACGTCCTCTGACTCACCACTCGCAGCGCAACCGCAGAATACTCTTTCCTTCTCGAGAGTGCCACAGGTAGCACAGAGACTGTCGGAAGATACAGTTTCATCGGCGCCAGTAAGCTAGTTTCCTAAAGGGCAATCATGGTGGACAGTCTCTAAAGTCTTTGTTCTAGACCCTCGAAAGGTGCTGGCTACCGGCGAAGGTTACCAACACTCTGGCGACCCTCTCAAGACCCTCGAGGCCGAGCTCTCCCACGACCGTGTTCTCGATATCCCTTCGTTAAGACTACCCGCGCTATCCGGAGGTGCCGTCGGATATGTCTCCTATGACTGCATCAAGTACTTTGAGCCCAAGACAGAACGACCGCTAAAAGACAACCTCCAAATTCCCGAGGCTTTGTTCATGCTCTTCGACACCATTGTCGCTCTTGATCACTTCCGTTCGACATTGACTATCGTCACGCACATGAAACTGCCAAAGAACCCATCGGACGATCTTCAACCCGCCTACGATGAGGCCTGTGAGACCCTCAAAAAGACCCTCGACATTATTTTCCAGCCCGAGACACCTCTGCCCAAACAAACACTTGTTCCGCAGTCCGAGTCTGACCAGCAGTTTTCGTCAAACGTCGGTCGCAAGGGTTACGAGACTTTTGTTACAGAGCTCAAGAAGTACATTGTCAAGGGCGACATTATTCAAGCCGTGCCCTCACAAAGGTTCCGCCGTAGCACACAACTTCACCCCTTTAACATTTACAGAACTCTTCGAACATTGAATCCCTCGCCATATGTCTTTTTCCTGTCATGTGCGGACTTTCACATTGTTGGTGCTTCGCCAGAGTGTCTCATGAAGACCGATGGCTACGCGCCTCTACCTTCGGACTCGCGATTCGGCTACTCAGCAGCTGAGGCTCGATCAAGGCCTCGTATCGTCAACCATGCTATTGCTGGAACAATTCACCGTGGAAAGAACGCAGCTGAGGACGACAGATTGGCAGCTGAGCTCCTAGCATCCAAGAAAGATCGCGCTGAGCACGTCATGTTGGTCGACCTTGCTCGAAACGATGTCAACCGAGTTTGCCATCCTACGACCGTCAAGGTCGACCGGCTTATGCGAATTGACCGCTTCTCCCACGTTCAGCACATCACCTCTGAAGTATCAGGAGTGTTGCGACCCGAATGCACACGCTGGGACGCCCTACGATCCATCTTCCCCGCCGGTACCGTCTCTGGCGCGCCCAAGATCCGAGCTATGGAGTTGATCTACGATCTGGAGCAGGAGAAGCGAGGAATCTACGCCGGAGCTGCTGGATGGTTCGGCTACGACATTGTTCGCGTCGACGAGAACAGCGAACCCCAGGACAAGATCTATGTTGACGAAGGATCCATGGATACGTGTATCGCCATTCGAACAATGCTTGTCAAGGATGGTGTGGCATACATGCAGGCCGGTGGTGGTATTGTTTACGACAGTGACCCTACGGATGAGTGGATGGAGACGATGAACAAGCTTTCTGCCAATCTTCGCTGTGTGGAGCTGTCGGAGAAGTACTTTGGTGATGGAGTGAGCACCAAGACGGTGGAGGAGATTATTGCTATTGAGAGGAAAAAGGGAGAGGAGGAGATCAAGGCGGCTGAGCAGTAGGTCTGTTTATCGGCACCGGATAAGGCTGGGTGGGCTGCATATTAAGGATTTGACAATCGGTAGCGGCTCTCGCCCTTTACGGCATCCCATTCCAGGAGACTCAGAAGGCACCGCATCGAAATCATCCTCTGCGAATTAGAACTCGGGCCCGAGAGTAGGCTGGGGAGGGCTGCGTATTGTCAGTTATGGCAATGGCCAGTATATCGTGCAAGTAGCAACCAAACTCTAGGAAAATTAAACGAAATGAAATGTATCTGAACTTGAGAATAGACTGGGATTCTATACTGAATATTTGATATTATGACATTGTTCAGTTGATTGATGGTTCTCATTCAAGTGAGTTCCATTATGCAGAACTGAGAGTTCATTATTAAAATTGGACACTTTGTTCATCTCAAAGGAACATATCCATGAATCCAAAACACCATCTTTGTTCTTGATCCCATACAATGTCTAAACAGCTAATATTCGGTGTATAAATAGGAAAGATAATCCATCTTCTTGTATCTCAACAATCTCATCACAAATCTTGAGTAAACAGACTTCTCATTCTTCCGGTAAGAATCTTGAAATCATTTACCTCACTCACAACATTTCCAGGAAAGCGTCAATCGTCATTTCGACATCTACACCATTTCCCAGTAAGTGCCCCCCTACCTACCGACATCATGTCTTCCATTCAGGACTTTTGGCCCCCTATCGAGGAGGCTATCAACATCAACAACGACCCCTCCCAGCCCAACACGACTTCTCACGTCCAATGCCCCATTTGTTTGGAGGCTATTGCAGTGACAAGCTTCTCTCCCGTGCCAGAGCGTGAAGGCGACATTTTGGGTACGGATCCAACCCTCGGAGAGATCCTTCTCTGCGGTCACGTTCTATGCCAGGCATGTCGTGTCCAAAACGAGGATGCTTCCAACCCTTGGGAGGACCGCAAATGTCCCATGTGCCGTACTTCCCTACAGTGCATCGACTGTGGTAAACCTTCTCAGGTGGTGCCCATCCCCAAGGAGGGCCCTACTTCGACAGTCCCTGCAATTCTGACTGGCGGCAGCCGGTGCAGAGATTGTAAGGCGATTGCAGGATTTGACGAGAGTATTCAGCAAGGTGGGTGGCCAGAAGGTCTTGGTGACCTAGAACCTGGCTTTGTCCCTCTGTTTTACCACTTGGTAACTAAGATGCAACAGCAGAATATGATCGTCTGCAAGAGATCTATCGTCAATGCGTTTTCTACCATTGTTGAGGAGGAGTTTGGACACATGGTGACCAAGCGTTCAGATCGGATTCACGAAATGCACGCTGCCCTGGAGGGAGAGAGCCCTTGGTTTGAAGAAGAGGATTCTTCCGAAGATGAGGAGATAACTTTTCCTCCTTTGGAAGAGCCACCAACTCCACATGTTCAATGGCAAGATTCCCTTGCACCACATGTTGGACACGAGTTCACTGCTATGCTAGAGGCGTCACAGCCCCCAGCACAAAGCCAGCAGCAGTCACAGGCACGTACAGCACAGGGAGTTCAAAATTCTCTGGGTTCACTGGCAGCGAGACCAACTCCACGGGCAGGCCTGAGGCAGCTCTTTGGGCCTCGTTACGAAGAATGGCCTGGGCCTGTGGGAGCACCGAACAACAACCCGAACGGGATGCGTCTAGTCTCAGTTGCAGCAAGACCATCTACGCAGGAAGGTGTTTTGGCAGAGTTTGTCGAAACATATGTTCCTGAAGAGTGGGTCAATGTGGGAAACAACGAGTGGCAGTCTTTTGGCTTTGATCACGAGGCTGTTGACATCCATGTAGACTCGAACGGCAATGATGATGAGGAGCATCACAGCGTCGACGACGACACGAGTAGTGAAGACGATGATGACAGTGGAACCTACAACGATGACAGCCCAAACTCGAGTAGTAGTGAAAGCGAAGACGACTCGAATAGCAACGAAGATGGGGATGTCGAAATGACATTCTAATTCTTTGACTATCTATTCTGGCTCGCTTGCTGGAATTCGTCCACACACTACGGAAGTTCTCCAGGTCACAAGGTAAGTAAGGTATTGAATGGCGCTTGACTTTTCAGTCTCTGGAAGACGAAAGTCAACTGTCATCAATACTTTTCTTCTGAGTTCTGACAGCGGAATGAACAAGGTAAGGTGCTGACTGATGTCGTCTCTGGAAGACGCGTGTAAGTCACGAATCAAAATGGGTCCCCGGGTATTACAGGCAAAAGGTAAGGCAAGGTAAAATGATAGATAGTCCGTCTAGTAAACGCAGACGAGATCATCTCGGGCCGAGTATGGATATGACGGCACGGTAGACGGCATATAGGAAAATGGAGTCTGTTTTCTATTATTTTATTAATTTGTTTACTTTGTGATTGATTGATGTCTAAATGTATGCGGGCGGTGAAACAGCCTTCCTTTCAAATCCGGGATTAGATTGGAATTACGCATTGTACTAAAAAAGGGTTTCAGTTTTGTGCCGTCGGAGCCGTTATTGTCGGACGATCATTATAGATCGATGAGCATAGACAATTTAATATTGAGAGTGCAGTGTAGTGAGTAGTAGCGCTTAAGCCAGTGATGTTGCAGTAATATCATAGGTACGTCAGCGTCAAAAGCTAACGGTTAGTTCAAGCCACGCAGGTACGCGCATACTTACGCAGACAGACAGGTGATAGAAGAGATTTTTCGGATATCGGCTTGAGCCTTGACAGGGAGAATCAACCATGAGTCAATACGATGATCAAAAAATACCGGACGGAATATATATGCCGAAGACATAAAACACTATATATGAGAACAGAGTCAAGAAGAAGAGAAGGAAATATAAAAAGTGGAACAGGATAGCATCATCTCACCGCGCCGTGCCGGTATCCGATCGCGCCCAATCGACCCCGGCAAGTCGGCATCTCGACATCCACCATTTCCAAACGCCCAGTTTTTAGTCTGGGGTGGTTATAGAGTCATCAGAGAGACAGCAATAGAGAGAGTAGAAGAGAATGGAATATGGCAATAGATTAGATAGATGGATGTATCAAGAGAACAATTTGATATTGTTGGTAATTATCAATGTCAAAAACCCACTGTAAACCCCCTAAGCCCCTAAAGAATAAATGTATGTCACTCGCCTACAGCTGTCCAAATAGGTAGTGCACACACCCCCTCTTGGACAGGTGCTTGTCTCGGAAGTACGGCTTGACCTATTGCACCGTTCACATCCATTGAACCCTTTTTTTGTTGCCGTCTCTTCCAGACCTTGCCTTACAAACTCCCCATGCCAGACCTAACATCAGGTAGCATAGCATAGGTAGCATAGCATTTCACTGGTACTAGACTAAGAATAGAACCCACCATCAAACTTACAGTTGCTTCATTCCCCTGTAACTACTCTCTCATTTTTCCTCACTCCCCCAACTCTCTCTTCCTCTCAACTCATCCACTTACGGATATTTACTTCTACTACTCGACATTTCGTCAAGTGGCTCCAAACTTTTCGTTCCTGGTTTTTTTCTTTTTGTTTTGGTCAACTTTTACAGTATACACCCCTCCCCATCCGTTACTCTCGGGCTTCGCTCTCTCGTCTACCCCCGCGGGCGACTGTCACTCTCCATTTCAGCCCCAGGGGCCCTTTCTAGCTGGCCCATTTAAGCCAAAGGGGGGAGGCCTGGAAGCCGGCGCCTTTCGCCAAGATTTCCTCATCCCGCCTTTACTCACTTCTCATTTGCAACTTCTTTAAACCTCCTCTTGAGCCTCACTTTTACTCTCTCTTTTTCTTTTTTTTATCAAAAATTATTGGATGATACCGCGATAGATGCCTTCCCTTCTGCAGGCCGACATGGATCCCCTCGCCGTCGTCGGCCTCCCTACCACAACCGCCATCACAGGCCTTCTAGAAGTGGGCGCCGCAGCCATCGACATCCTCAGCGATCTCAACATCTCGCCTCAGCACGACACACTCGTTCTCAACGCTCTTCTTCGAGAGGTTAAAGAGTGTCGCTCTTCCGTACACGCTTTCTACAAAACCCTCAACCTCATCGAGAACGGCCAGATCCCAATTCCCACTCGCGCCGCTTGGATCTCTCTCGAAACCCTCGTCGCGACTCTTACAGATACCGTCCTCGCCTTTTCACGCCTCTCATCGCTATGCTGCGCCGTCGATGAAGAATCTACAAGGTCCAGCCCGGAAGATGCGGCTAAACATTTCGAGAAGCGCATCAAAGCACTCTGCGCGAGGATTCGGTGGCATAACCTGTCGATTGCTATGATGATGACAATAGTAAACTGGTAAGTTTGGGGAAAGAGCAAAAGCAAGGCAAATGGCGAGACATTGGGCAAGCAAGACATGCAGGCTATACCCTGCTAATTCCCACTTTCTTGACTTGGCACACGGACCTCTTGTCGAACAATGGAATTGAAGACTGACAACGATAAAATAGCCCCGGAGAAAAAGATGCAAAGAACAGTCGCGACGAACTCGCTCATCGTGTTGCTCGACTACTCACATTCAACGTCGGCCTCGCTGCTCGATTGCGACATACTGCAAGACCCGGATCCGGATCCTCGGCCGCCAAGACGACCGTCTCAATCACCGAATCCCCCGAGATCACCCCCGTCAATGTGGGGCACCGCGCCCCGGCCTCGTCATGGTCAACATCATCAACATCGTCGTCACCCTACTCTGGAACCCTCGCCAACCTCACCACACCAAAGGCTTTATCCAGAATTGCTCTGCCTATAGAGTTGAGGGAGTTGCGTGATGATTTTGAGTACTATACCGGCGCAGCACCATCACAGGTCGGCAGCTGCGAGTTTCCTACTGGTGGTGTGTTGGTTGGGACTCCGTACAATGTTACATCAGCGCGATGAGGCTTTTGTCTCGAGAGTATATGAAACAAACTCTCCCCCTCCCCTCAAATGTCACCTAGATAAAAAGATGACAAATATGCAAAGTCGGTGTTAAGGTTGAAGTCGTTCCATTACTTTGGTTGGGGATGGATTTAGACAGGCATCTTTTTTTGTTCTGGGTTGTTTTTATGTGTAATGATTTCTACTTTGTTTCTTCCACATGGAGTCGATTTAGCTTAGCTGGGCATTTGCAATTATTTAACGTAGAGATATCCATCCAATCAATTAATCAGCCATTACTTGGAGTGCGTGTGTGCTATGAATACTACAGAAACGAACTAATGCTATGCTATGAAACAGACAGACAGTTCTTACATGAAGAGCTTGCTGCCGTGGTACTTTGTCTTGCCAGAGTATGTCTCGGTCTGGACAGTAGCCTCGATAGATCGCTCAGGGAAACCCTTGAAGGACTTGGCGTAGGTAGCGACAGAGTGAGCAATGAGCTGCGGGGTGTTATGTTAGTGTTACCGCTATTAAAACATGTGATGGGTTTTGACTTACCTTGGTGTTCACCTCCCAAGCAGTGTAGTTGACGTTTGTCAAATCATCACCGATCTGGTGGTAGTTCTTGTCGTACCAAACACCAGCCTCTCCACCAAACATCTCAACCTCATCCTCAGTCTTGACACCCTCAGCACCGGTAGCGATACCGCCAGCGGGAATACCACCACGGATGAAACCATCGTAGTCGCTGCGACCGTCAAAGGGAATAAAGGTGTAGTTGAGACCCTGCTCCTCGTACCAGTCAATGTACAAGTCGCGCAGCTCCTCGGATCCCTTGGGGTTGGCAGCGTTGGTGGCGTTGTAGATCTGGTAGGCAAAGTTGGGACTGGCCATCATGTCGTAGTCCATGAAGAGACGAATCTTACGGTTCTCCTCCTCGGAAAGGACAGAGACGTAGTGGTCGGATCCGAGGAGACCTTCCTCCTCGGCGGCCCACCAGGCAAATCGGACACAGTTGTTGACGCGGTACTTGGTCAGCTGGACAGCAACCTCAAGCACAGAGATACTGCCTGAGCCGTCATCGTTGATACCAGGGCCCTCGGCAACACTATCGCTGTGACCACCGAGCATAACACAGTTCTCGGGGTCACCACCCCGGGTCTGGGCAATGATGTTGGTAGTAGAAATGGTCTTGACCTCGGCATCGATGTATGCAATACTGTCGACCTCCTCGCCATCCTTGATCTTCTTGACAACAGCCTTGCCCTCATCACCACCAAGACCAAAAGTAGCAATGTGATCAGGAGAAGGAGTTCCCAGAGTTCCGTGAACATCACCCTTCTCGTAGTTGTACACAACAGCCGCGACAGCACCCGCCTTGCCAGCGTTGCCAGACTTTGTTCCGAAGGGACAAGTTCCACGGAGAATCAGGGCAATGTTTCCCTCGACGGATTTGGGATAATCGGACTCGTCGCATCCTTCATTGTCTACAAGAACAAGCTTTCCGTAGACAGGCTCCTTGTTCTTTGTAGGAGGAGTCAGACCCATGGGGGCAGCCTCCTTGGGAACGTCATTGCCGAGAACGAGTCGCGATTCAAAGACATTGCCCGAAACGGCAGGGAATTGCTGGTTCGAGACGGAGTAGTAGCCACCTAGCTTGGCCAATTCAGCGTGAATGTACGACAGCGTTCCGAGATGGCCTAGTCACCAGTCAGTCAGTCAATTGCGACAATGCCGATGTCGGCGATAACTTACCTTCGCTACCGATGACGCGAGTAGGATGACCATACTCTTCCTCTCCATTCTTAGCAATCTCGTACAGATCCTTCGCTCGCGCCTCGAGATTCTCAGGCTTGATGCTCTTCTGCAACTCCTTGGTGTCAACCAGAGGAAGATCGTCGCTAAAGGGACCCCATGAGAGCTTTGGAACTTGGATGTTGAGAGGGATCTGAAGAGCTGAGACGCCCGACAGAGCGGCCGTAGCAGCGACCAGACAGAGACCCTTTGTTGTCATTTTGTTAGTTGTTGTGATGATGAAGGAAGAAGAAGAAGAAGATGGATGAAACGGTGAGGTAGAAGAAGGGTTTCATTCAGGTCCGCCAGGGCAGGTGATACAAGCTCCAGTGCTTGTGACGTGATGATCTTGAGCTACTGCAGCTTAGCTTGGTTGCCCTGCCAGGAACCCGAGGCATTGCTTATCTTTGCCTGGTCTAGATTTCAGGGCTGTTTCCCCGTGTCTTGGCAGTGACCTTACCCTGGAGGTTGGGTTGTCTTATCTATTGATGCCATTATTCATGCGAATGAAGATAACCAACACTTATATAGACATTATATTTAACTACAAGGCTTGTATCAATTGAATGTAGGACTTTATTGTATAATTTAAAATGCTGATATGTAAATGTTTTGTCCAAGAACGAACAACTGAGATATGGATGTTATGTTATGTTGGCTGGTCAGGAACTTATTGCATGACACTCACCGATTAATTTTTGTTTATTCTCAGTAGAGACGGTGAAGAAAAACATAATAAGGGTTGGGCAATTTACATAAACATTAGGAGAGTATTGACATGCAGGGGTCTTGTATATACAGCCCCGGAATCCTCGGTTTACTCTGCCTATATGCAGCCACTGCATTCCATGAGCCTACCTGCATGGCATCGACAAAGCAATTCCCATGATAAGCCACTTTTGTACAGGTAATTAATAAATGCGCATGCGACATCTGCTGTACCAACCCTCTCACCCTCCCATTGGCTACTCAGTCTTACACCCAAGACCAACCATCTCACACATCTTGGCTGGAACCCGTCAGCTCAGTCAACCAGCTAGAATAGATAGGGTGCTTACATGAGATCAACCGCTGACGCTGACATGATGATGTGTCAAATTGTAATAAAAACTCATTCCTTCCTCTCAAGTCGTTACTCAAGCTCATCATACTAAACTACAATGCATCCCGCCTATACACTTTACATCGGCCTTGGGGCCCAAGTGACGGAGTGGAAGAATGATGTCTACGACACAATCAACAGAGCTCTTACGGAACCAACTGATCTTCAGATTCAAGTAAGCTGAGTGATGAAGACAGAAGTGAGTGTGTACTTATGTTGGGATATAGGTAGATGAGAAGAAACCTCTCATCATTGAGAAACGAGTGGAGGAAGGGCGGGGATTGGAAAAGCAATGGACGGAGAAGAAATAGCTGACAATATCTGAGCATGGATGCGCTGGGAGGATATGTTTAAGCTATCAAAACAGTGCTGTACGGACAAACACATTGACATCAAGCATGAATTCAAATGTACTCATCTCTGCCCAGACTACTCACAGGATGAATTACCAAAACAGGACATATCCCAAACATCACTGCATTCCTATTCGTCCCATTCGCATGCATACAATTTGATCTCTATACCAACCATTCAATTCTATTTCTATTTCTATTCAGGAATACTCATCTTGACATGACCACCCTTCTTCGCCGCCCTCCCTCCAAATCCCCACCCAATCTGATGCGCAAGCTGAATCTCTATATCCAAATCATCCGCCCAAGCCCACACAAGACCAGGGTTCTTTTGGAACATTCGTCCTGCAGCGACGAGATCGACTGGTACATCATTTTCGTCTTTACCACCAGAAATAAGCTCCTCGGCTTGGGTTCCTGTCTTGATACTGCCAACGGTACTGACGAGAATCTTGTCGCCTACTTCCTTCTTGATGTACTTGGCGAAACCGGCCTGATAACCTGGTCCACCCTTTACTTTCTGCATGGGGTGGTTACCGCCGCTTGATACATCAATCACATCGACGCCGCGCTCAGCAAAGAGTTGAGTTAGTTTAGCAGCTTGATCGACGGTCCAGCTCTCGCCGTTGTACTCAGGGTTAGTATCGAGCCAATCCGTAGCGCTGAAGCGTACAAACAGAGGCATAGTCTCTGGGATAACAGCGCGAACTTCTTCCACAAGTTCAAGCGCAAGACGAGTTCTGTTCTCAAAGCTTCCGCCGTACTGATCAGTTCTCTTGTTAACGCTTGGCGTCAAGAATGAGCTGACGAGATACCCATGCGCGAAATGAAGCTCAATCACATCGAAGCCAGCAGTAACGGCGCGGTTGGCAGCTTTGACGAAATCCTTCTTGAGTTGGTTGATCTCCTGGATAGTCATGCTTCGAGGCGTAGGATGATGCTCGTTGAAAGGTTCATTGCTGGGTCCTACGACATCGTCGGGCCAGCCGTTGACTTCCTCTGTCGCTGTGGCGCCGGCGCTGAGCCATGGGGCTACACAGCTTGCTTTTCGGCCTGCGTGGGCGAGTTGAATAGCGATGTTGGTGTTTTGGCTGTGTGCAAAGTCGACGTTCTTACGGAGAGTGTCGACGTGGGCGTCTAGCCAAATTCCAGCATCCCTTGATCTGTAAGTTTCCACACAATACGAAAGTCTGTTAAAAACTTACTCAGGTGTGATACGGCCATTAGCTTGCACAGCAGTGGCTTCAACCATCATGAGTCCAGGCTATTTATGTCAGTTACCGTTTTTGTTATTTGTGGAAACGCCACTTACACCACGCTGAGCCATGCCTCCGTAATGGGTAATATGCCAGGGTGTCATAAAACCCTCATGACAAGAGTACTGGCACATGGGACTCACCCAGATCCTGTTCTGCATCGTAACGCCTCGGATCTTGAGAGGTTGGAATAACTTGGGCACGGGTCTTCCATCCTCGGGTTTAATGGCCAGACCAGCAGGGGGATCTTGTTCTGGGGTGAAAAAGGGAACGCCCTTGGCTGCCACGTTGGGGATGGGATGGCTGCACTTTTCCGTCTTTGCAGGTGCAGGAGTTTCAGGCCTCGAAACGGGAATGCCGTGATGAGGGTGAACAATTCGGTTGGTGAAATAGGCAGCCATGTTGAGATTGTCGTTGTTGAGATTGAGATATCACATTCGATGAAGCTCCACGGGAATGCCAGTTTATATAACTTCACTGAAACATGATGGGCCAATGACGTTGTGATTATCAATCTCGACTATGAAAAATCGTCAAGGTGATATGTCCTGGGAAACGTGCATTAATTTTCGGCTTTATTATTCGGTCTGACATTTGAGTGGACAATTGTTTAACGTTGAAGCATTTATAATAAATAACGTTGCCCAGATTGTGGGTCGATTATCTATACTAGGTAGGTAGTAGTAGACCAAGAGATGGTGTAACCAACCTGATCTCGCTTTGTTGAAAATATACAAATGACAAATCCCGCTCCCTCAAAAACAAAAAAATGCATATATGTACGATCCAACCATGAGATCACGGGTCAAGCAACCTGCTGTTAACTCTTCGTAGCCTTCCACTCCTTCGGTGGCCCGAGTCTTGTTCTGTCGCTGGAGCAATCCTTCCAATTAAGCCAACTGTGCTGTGTCGCTTTCGTCCTCGTTCAAGATCCTCAGCCTCTTCCGTATTCGCTTTAAGGACTCCAAAACTCTTGCGATTTCTTATCCTTCGCTCATCATCAGGATCTAAGAATCGATGAATTGTGCGATGATCCAAGATTCGCTCCTCCTTGTCATTAGGTCCGGCTTTGTCCGTCTTTGGCCAGATGTATCCGTAAAGCTTTGAGTGTCGTTCGCAGCGAGGACATGAAGCTCGTGTAAAGTATGCGTTTTGTTGTACAAAGTAACCGTCGCAGATGGTGCACTGAATCCAAGCCATCTCGGGTTCTGATAAAAGTAGTGGTGTAAGGAGGTAATCGCCCGGTGTTCGCACTCGAGCTGGGGGTGTGTCTTCCTTGTAAACACGACGTTGTGCCTTCTTTCGCTTTGGCTGTTCCTCATCAGCCGCTTGGCCCTCTTCAACTGCTTCAATGCTGGTTGCAATTGGCGCAACTGGTTCAACTGGTGGAGGTACCACCGTTGCTTCCTCCATCTTCTTGGACTCAGGTTCCGTTTCCATCTCAGACTCTAGTGGATCGTTCAAAATAGCTTGAATAGACATAGTATCCAAACTGCTTCGATTGCTCGACGTAGCCCCATTCTTCTGATGTGGTGATCGCGAACCCTCTGTGCTCTGTGGTGAGACGGGTGCGATCCTGCTTTGTTCACTGTTCTGCTTTGATACGCCCTTCAATGGTGTCTGCATAGGCTCTGGAGTCTCCTTCTCAGGCGAAGTAACATCTGTCTCGACAGCTCCACTTGATTCACTAGCCGTGACAGATGTACCGCGCGACGAAGAATCCGAGACTATCGGCTGGACCCCAAGCTTTTGTCGCTTCGCTGGTGTCTTGGGTGGTGTAGCCAGAATATCGTGTGTTCGCTTGCGACTGGATTGTTCGACGGATGGAGATCTAATAGATGATGAATCTCGAGCCAGTAGTGATCCTCTCGAATTAGCTTTCGTAATCCGTGGTCGCATATCGGGGGTGACTGATGGTGTTCGTGAAGAGCCAGAGATACTGTCATCTCTTCGTCGTCGTCGAAGTGAGTAACCGTCTGGCTGGCTCTGCTCAATGCCTGTTCGAACTGGCACTGTCCCCTCTTGTGGCTCCCATGCATTCCTCAACAGGTCCTCGCATGTCTTGCACAGACACTCACAGTTGTTCTCGCCAAAGTAGTTATCTCCGTACGTGACTGTGATTTCCTCTCCTGCTTCAATCGCCCTCGTTGCAATAATCTCGATTCCTGCATGGCTCGTCCTCATAAGTTTGGCGTTTGCGTCGCAATCGTGATTCGCAAATCGAGCAGGTCCCATGAAAAGGCTTGTGCACTTGCTTCGTGAACTAACGACAATGCTGAAATCCTTCTTCTGAGACGAGATTGCCCTCTCCTCCTCTGGTGTAATGACGACCTGTACACCTGACAAATACTTGATGGCTTCGTTGCGCCGTATGGCTCGTCTGGCTGTCACGGCTGCCTCGTGGCTGACAATCGTGTATCGGTTTGTTGAGCTGACCTCCCAGGGACAATCCGGTAGATAAATCTGTACATAACGTCTGAGATGTTTTCGGAAATCGTCCTTCTCCTTGTCGGTTTTCAATGCATTGTGAAATCTTTTGAGTCCGTTTGTTGTCAATAATCGCTTCTCGGCACTGTCCAAATCCTTCTTCAGAACCACCTCTTCCTGAAGAATCTTGCCAATTTCTTCCTCCTTTACACCTCGCGAGGGGTGATAAGATGTGCGGTTCTTGGGAACTGTTGTCCAATAAAAGACCTGGCTGTGTTAGAGTCGCATTTCCTTTTCATAGGATACTCAATCGTAAACCACTCACATGATCAACCAGGGCGTCAGTGAGAATGTCATCATATGCTGACACTTGAGCCAGTGTCATGCGCGGCTTCTTGTTTGCCGCAGTCTGTGAAGGAGGCATCTTGCCAAACTCAGAGTCTCTGTCAAGAGACTCGTGTTGCTAAAACTGCTGTTGGATAAAGGAGCGTACGTGTCCCTCAAGAGACTAAAAGTCCGAGCGAGAAAAGAGCGGAGATGTCGATCGTTGGTTCACTGAATTACAGCCTTGTCGGAGCCACGATCGTTGCTTTTCAGCTTCTGTCAAGCACAAATGCCAGAGGTGAAAGAGAGAAGAGGATCTCAATGAATGTTGTTCTAGTTGAGTTTATTCGTGCCGCAACGTCATAGCCTAAGCAAGGGCAGTGGAGATTGAAGTTTCTTCGATAAAGAATGATATAAAGGCAAATTATGCTCAGAGTTTGGTGAGGGAACAGCGATATAGCATATAAACCTCTCAAGGAATCGGACTTGAAGGAGGGAAGAGATGTTCAAGGTGGAATGACATGTTAGTGTCTTGCCGGCCTTGTAGGTTAGGGGTTGGTTTGTTCAGTCTTCCCTGATCAAGTCCGGTTTGGGGGCATTGGCCAGGCGACGGGTGGGGCGGTGTTTAAACGAGTGTTTAATTCATGTGTGGCTGGATCTCAGCTGTGGCTGTGTGCACGTGATGCTAGTCGAAAAGTTCAGTTGGGCAAGTTGACGATATCCCGGGTTGAACCGTGGTGAGAGTAGAGCTATCGATCCTCCGCGTGCGGATACACAGTCAAGATGATTCAATTAAAGGTGCTTTCCCTCCAAATACGTCTGTCTAATTATACTGACTATGTAGACAATGCTTAACTGCATCGACAACTCGGGCGCTGCCCTTGTTGAATGCGTCTTGGTCGTTGGCCAAAAGCGACATGCCCGAATCGGTACGATAACCTCCAACCCACGATGGCACCTACGATTCGAACGATTATCGAAGTTATTCGACCGATGACTAACTCTACTCAGGTGACCGTCTCGTCGTCGTCGTCCAGGAGCAGCGTGGTAGCTCCTCCGGTGGTATGGCTGGTATGTCTGCCGCCAACAAGGTCAAGCGAGGTGACATTCGTCACGCCGTCGTCGTCCGAACCCGATACCCTACACAGCGCCCCGACGGATCAGTCGTCAAGTTCGACGACAATGCTTGTGTTTTGTTGAACAAGTCTGGTGACCCCGTCGGATCACGTATCAACGGCGCTGTTGGCGCAGAGCTGAAGCGCAAGAAGTGGAGCAAGATCTTGTCCATGGCTCCTATGCAGGCATAAAGAAATTACGACACAAAGTTGGGGGAGCGAGGGGTGATGATTTATAAAAGAAACAGGATAGACTACGGGAGTGAGGTTGGCTGACAACAGCCGTGTACGAGTGGAATACTGTACAATTATGAATACTATACTCGGGCATATGCGAGGCGTTGATGCGAGAATAAAAACACCTTTCAGCTCTTGACATTTCACAACATGTTCACACAATACATCACATAATATGGGTCATCAAAATTATTAAAACCAAGACTACAAATTGCAGCTGGTTGTGATTCAATTTCTTCCTCCAAGCTCATATACTGCCATTTGCAGTTAATACAGGATCATGTTTAAAATACAGGTTCCATTTCCTTCTAAAAAGTCCCAGCGCCCATGACAGAAACCTTGTCATAACCTTTTGTAAACGCCTTGCCAAATACAAATGATAATGCGAACATCTTGCACAGCGACGTGTCGGTGCCTGGGTATCGATACAAGGTCTCGCTCAAGTGAAAATGTGACCGCATTCGCAGCAGACGTAGAACAGTTTCTGGACCTTGTTAGTATCGAGGTGATTGGCACACTGACCATGAACAACTTACCATGCCGGTTTCAGCGCTTCGCTGCTGAGACTGGAAGAAGACAGCTTCGGTGTGCTGGCAACTAGGGCAGGTCTTTGTAGATCGCGGGAGCTGCAGCGCGCAAAAGAAAATAAAGTCAGCCAGCAGTCTTTAAGCGATGACAAGCGGGTTCCAAAGAAAACGCGAGCCACCCAGTGCTCCAACTGCTGTTTCCAACTCTTAAACTTTGACATGTCACGGTCGGTCTGTTTTACCGCCGGTGTATAACACCAAAGCCCGAGCATGTGCCAGCCAGCCCAAAAGTAATAATGTTCGTGCCAATAATGTCGTCATATTCATGGTCGTCGTGATGTAGGTGTAAAGTTCGTGTTGAAAGACGAAACTCATGAGTCGGACATCATGGAGATCTCGTCAAGAAACTCTTCGCTCACGTCGGAGAAGAAGTCATCAGACTCTGTCTTGGCGTCATCAGAGTCCTCGTCCATCATCTCCTCATCGTAGGCAGTAAAAGGGTCCTCCCATGGCAAGGTGAACTGGCACATGCCCGTGATGGGCTGACTGATCTTGTTCAAAGAGGCAACCATATGGCAATCGGGCTTGCCGCAAGAGGTACAGTAAATGACTCCACCACAACCGTGGCAGAGAACAGGTGGAAGGTCACTAACCGTCGGATCGGAGCCAACATCCTGGGTGACACCGGCGGTCTCACCAGCCGAGGTGTTGAGGTTGTTGCGGAAGACGCAGGTAGACTTGGCGTCCTCGGTGTACTGGCAGGTTCGGCAGGTAAACTGGAGCTTGTGAGCATCCTGATCCTCCTTGGGGTACAACATGTTGGAGCATTCGGAGCAGAATCGGAAAGTAATCTGCTCGAGCTTCTTGTCGCTGTCGGCAGCCTCGTAAGAGGTGATGGACTGGGGAGTCGCCATTGTATCGGTCGCGTTGTTGTGTAGTGGTTCGAGTATGAACGGAATGATTGTTTGCTTGATGTAAATGCAAAGAGCAAATGCAAAAGTTGAAATGCTTTGTATCTTCAAGCCGTGATTAAAAACGAATCGGGTTTGTCGCTCCAAAGCAGATGTCGAAATGTTGATGTAAGAGGAAGAAGAAAGGGAGAGTTGATGGAAGGCAGCGTGCTAATAAAATAGAGGTCTAGAATGAGTGGGAGGGGCTCGCTATGGGATTGATTCCCTTGCTCCACTTTTCCTTTCGGGTACTGAATTTGAGTTGACTGCCTGGTTTTTGGCTTTTGTGTGGTTGGGCTGAGTTGAGTTGGGTAGACAAAACAACCAGAATATTTTGAAGTAAATAGTTGTCAAGGCTTGTGAGGATTGTTTGAGAGTTGACTATTGTCAAGTACAGAAAGATAATTCGAGTCTAAATTATAGAACAAGAGAAGACAGAACAAAGCTACAAGGTTGGGCGGCTAGGTGATCGGGTTTTGTAAGGGATGGGTAGCGAATGACTCTTGAACAAAACCAAGGCACAAACGTTAATTCCAGGCTTACAGTCAGTTAGTTTCATCCCTCCGTGGCCTCGTGTGGGCGGTCACACGTGGGCGGGCAGACAAAAATCTGATTTCTTTTGCAGCGCCTTGCTATGGCTTACTCCCATTCCCTCTATCTCACTGTCTGATATGCAGGTGGCAAGGCAAAAACACTGGGGACTTTGTCCTTTGACAGGGTTTATTTGTGGTGACTCACGGCTTGAACGAGTCGATAATTCTTGATTAGGTATGAAGCGGTGATGCCTTGGGAGCATTTCATCTAGAGGCAGCCAGAAGATATTCGACAAGGCGTGAATATACACCGTGTTGACTTTCTCATTGGTTAACTTTCATGGCTGAATATTCGCCGATGCTTACCAGGTCTAGGTTTGTACGTTAAAAACACAAGGCTGGACAAACAGGGGATGTTCACATCATCACTTGTGCGTTAATCAGGCACAATGTAACATCTGTCACGATAGGGACTATATGCACGCAAGAGACACGCATCCAAATACTACTTAGTGATTGATCAGTCAACGTAAAGGCGGATGCAGGAACACGCTTTCCTGCCACATCAAACGATGTAGGCGCGGGACAAATGATCACTAAAGGGCACATGAAGGTCTCGAAGAGGTCCACGAGACCATCGCGATCGCACCAAGACGGTATTTGAGACACGATCAACAGAAAAGGCCTCAGACGTGTCCACGTGTATGAGTACGTACCCATCATAGTATGTTTCGTAGTGAGGATGGACAAGCACCAAGGTCCAAGTTAATCACGACTAACAATACTCAATCCCGACAAAAGCTGCTTAGACCATCAGATCTCGGTAACCTTGGGCGGAAATATTAAAAAACTTGAGCCTCAAGTTTATACGTCACTAGAGCGGTGTTTGTCCAGCTAAATAACAGCCCACTTCCATGTTTCTCAGTAATCCACTTACACGATAGCACATCTCAGTCCTGTTTTGTCTCAGCATCGAGCGAGCTTATGCTTACGGTGTGAGTCGAGACTCGAGTTAAAGTGTTTCAATGCGAGGAATTATTTGCGCCACGCACTTTATTTTGCAACAATCATTTTGTAGGTCGAAGTCAATTCGGCTGTGCTGTTTTGACGGGAATACGATACCCGATGCTTTACTCCAACGCTTACGATGAGAGCTGATCAAGGTGTAAGTTGGCCCTATAGCATAGCGGCGTCAAGCAAGCCATTTCTGTCACAAAATCCAATAAATCGAATCATTGGAAGAAACCTCTCAAAATAATTTCAAGCCTTTCACCGCTCTAGTCTTTGTGATCTAAGCTCTCATCGCATTTACTTACAACCTGCTTCCATTTCCACGCACAGATAGAATCCCATAAAACTAGAGCCTTTTTTCTTGGGTACTACCTATTGGCTAGCTATTAAAATCAGGGCCGCACCACGTAGCTTTTTAACTTCTGGACAAGGTTCAGGGCTAGAGGGAGAGTGACAGGCCTGCATATCATTCCGGATTGACTGGATGTCGACGTACAGCATGTATGTACACGTCCCTACTGCATATCAGGTAGGGCAAGGGGATTTGATGGGCTGGGGATGTTGATCAGATTTTGTTCATTGATTGAAGCATAGACCTGAGGTTGACAGCTAGAGATTATCTACGAGTTGAGATGGACACTACACGATAGAATACCTAAACACACGTCTAAGTTCAAACCCAGCTTACGAGACTCTGTATTTTTAGTACCCGGAAGTAAAGGGAAAAGAAACTTCAGCTCGTAACAGTACTACGAGTCTGGTGACAACGAAACCCCTTGTTTGCGCATCCACTACAATCAGCCCCATGACCCCCAAATTGAAAGCAAGTCTCTTTATTGGGCCAAATCCAAACTTATTCATATGATATTAACCAAGTTGGATTTTATCCCTCGTTACGAGATGAAAAGGCGTCTTGGTTCAAGGGGAGTATCGCTGCAGGGTAATTGCCTTTGAACCTATCAGTGAATAGACATGGACACCCCGCGTCAAACCCCGCGCGCTGGTTGCCATGCGGCGTTGCTAAGGTGAGCGGGGGGCTTCCATTTCTGTTTCTGCGGGATGGACGGCACGTCATTGTTCCAGTAGTTCCATAACCCAGGGGCCCAGCTCCATCAGCTCCAGCTTACTTTACCAACATACCTACTTTTTCTTTCACTCAAGACGACGATTTGACCATACATACCACATCTACAACGCTGTACCCAGCTCCCTTCAAACTCTTCTTATACCCACTAACAAGCCAACACCGACATAATGGTAAGATGCCAACACCAAGCTCCCTTTGCCCAATTCCATTGGCTTCCATGGATGGCCTCAACTTCCTCGGTACAACTTACTGACATCTGCGCAGGCTGACACCGGTCTTCCTGCTGGCTGGGAGGTCCGACACTCCAACTCCAAGAACCTCCCCTACTACTTCAACTCGGCCGAGAAGCTGTCGCGATGGGAACCCCCCTCCGGCACCGACACCGAGAAGCTCAAGCACTACATGGCCACGAACCATAGCGCTGGTTCGCGTCCTGGTGCAGTTCCCGGTGTCCCCGAGGGCAAAATTCGCGCTGCCCATCTTCTCGTCAAGCATCGCGACAGCCGACGGCCCAGCAGCTGGAGAGAGGTAGGTAGCACGATACACCAGTGGCCCTTCAACAGCTGACTAATTTAATCGCAACAGGCCGAGATTACTCGCTCCAAGGAGGAGGCTTTCGAGATCATCAAGGAGCACGAGCAAAAGATCAAGTCTGGAAGTGTCAGCCTTGGCGAGCTTGCTCTCACCGAGTCCGACTGCTCCTCAGCTCGCAAGCGTGGGGATTTGGGATACTTTGGCAGGGGAGATATGCAGAAGGAGTTTGAAGATGCTTCTTTTGGTCTTTCTCCAGGCAACATGAGCGAGATTGTCGAGACAGCCAGTGGTCTGCACTTGATTGAGCGGTAAGTCTTTTCTTAAAATGAACCTAGAACTTATTACTGACCTGTTTCACAGTTTGGAATAATTGGAAAAAAAAGTATATAAATTATCAAACGTTGTAAATTGACCAAGCAGAGCGCATCGTTATCGTCCCTCGCCCGTTGTCTGTCGCAGACTTTTTAAACCCGTGACGCATATTATGAACTTCAGTGAGGTTGTGTATTATCAAGTCTTGTCTCTTTTTACATTACTCTGCCTAGATCTAAATTTCTACAGTACCCATCCACAACTGGCTTGCTCCTTTTTTTCGCCCTTCCATCCGTCTTCCTAAGCAAGTATATAACTCTAAACAAACAGGCATATTCAACGTGCGTCAAACGTCTATCCTGAATCTATCGACGTCTTTCCTTATTGTCTGGCCAAGTCCAAAACGGCTCCCTTGAAGGGTTCTACCGTTGTGAAAACCACCGTCATGACACCGGATACCGTCATTGCGAGAGCAGCATATGGAGCAGCGCGACTTTTTGTTTCATACAGATATGATACGCCCATGGCTGCGCCATTGATACCGACGGCGATGCCTGCGGAGATGGTGAAGGGGTCGTCGCCGCTTGCTAAATCTTGCTGAGCTGTCTTTAGCAGGGGTTTGAGGCTTAAGCGCGAGCTTCTGCCGTCTGACTCAGAAATGCTATTTTCGGATCTGAGGTTGTTTTCTCGTTTGACACCCAACTTGTCCAGTACGAAGGGGTAACAAAGTTGACCCAGGATCCCGTTGCTCACTACGAGGGCGGCATTGGCACCGAGGTTTCCGCCCAATGCTGCCATGGCTGGCTTGGCGAGTGCCAATGTTGTGCTTCGTGCGGCGAATGATAGCGCTTCAGACGGCTCTAAACCTATCAAGCTTCCTGAGAGAACAGAAACAAAGACATTGCCGGCTGCGGCGGCTGTCGCAAGTAACACCGTTAGCAGTCCAGCTAGACTGAATAGCTGACGCTGACACTCATACAATTTGAAACCCCATATCAAGATACCACACTCGAGGATCGAAAGCGCAGCATCACCAGCACCAAACCACGGAGTTCGGTCATCCGAAAGAGGTGTTCCTGTTGCCACCGAAGTCCAGAGGACGTAAAGCGGAGTGCCACTGCTAAAGTCCTCCAGCACCTTGGACAGACTGTGGAAGCCATATGCTCCAGCCTTGGCCCGGGTATATGCCGTCATCAAAAGAGTCGTGAACAGAACAGGATTCATAAGCGTGACGGTCGCGTTCTTGAGCTTGGGCATGTTGGCGCCTATCTTGGCGGTTCTGACTTCTCGTTGGAGGCGTAGGGTGAGTGCCCATATGAACCACAATACACACCCATCGAGAATGCGGTCTTCGTTGGCAGCAGCGGCGATTGGTGCGCCGACGATGAAGATGCCAATGAATGAGGCGAGTAAAGGGAAGTTGGATGTCCAGAGGTGCCACACTCGGGAAGCATCGATGGGATCCTTGAGAGCGATGGATGATCGTTGACTGGCTGTGGTGGAAGGGGCAGTGTCTCGGTCGGGTGCTGGTTGGTTCGTCTTTTCGCGACAACCCAAGATGGGTTGAGGCAATTGATCCAGAGTCGAGTCGGAGAGCCAACTGTTTTCGATCCTGGGCGGGACTTCTGTGTGAGTCTGAGGGAGGCAGAAGTCGTCTGGAACCTGGGTCCATCTTACTGCGAAGGTCATGGTGAGGAGTGATAGAGCAAAGACCATGACCCACGAAGCAAGATTTGTCACTACTAGAAGGGAGTCAGTATATTGTTCGGCATCTTTTCGCATCCGTACGCACCAAAGTTGCCAATGATGCAGGCAATGTCGAGACCACCGAGGATATCGCTCTGGTTGAGCATTACCAGAGGGATAGGAAAACCCAAGCCCAAATGGACGTTGATGAAGTCTACCTGCGATGACGGTCAGTGTTGATTGTCGGAGGTAGCCAGGCTCTTTACCTTTGACTTTATGTGTCTTTGGTAGACATCATCAACACCACTGAAGCACAAATAGGCGAAAGACATACAGCAAAAGGTCAAAATCATGCCAAAAATGGAAGAAAAGAACTCGAGATGTATAGGCGCCAGCGCCCTACTCAAGCCCCAAATGATAAGCTCACTCATGAGATAAATCACAACGACCCAGCCAAACTCGAGCACATTGCCGGCGAGGAAGTTGAGTCGCTTCTTCCAAATCTTTGATAGCGACATGTCTCGGATGGATTGAAACAGTGTTTTGGTCAAATGGACCTCTGACCTCGAGGTGTCGGCTTCATTTGAGGGACTGAGACAGCGGAGGATTTTAGAAATGTTGTTTCTTAAGGTGGACATGGTGTGACTTGGTGATAGTACACAGCCCAGAAGCAAGAAAGGTTGGAGGAGAAGAAGGAGGTGGTTGGACGTTTAGATACACCCTTTCGCAACCAAATTTGCGGAAGGGTGAAGGATGATTAAAAAGGATCCGAGAGGACTCGAAAAAGGTATATGGGATAGGAGTAGGAGAATGAAAGGAAAGGTTTGGCAGTGGCAGGGACCGTTGTGGATAGCTTCGGGCAGAGGTTTGGCACTGGCAGTACTTCATTACAGTGAATGGTACCATATTCCGGGTACCCAAACATTTGATTTCAGGTTTATTTTACAGCCGTTTGGACTAGTATGTCCATCAATGTGGGCATATCTCCTTTTGGAACAAGATAATGTAGGAACCCGAAGAGAATCCCACGAATCTAGACTAAATGGGGGGGGGGGGACAGGATGTACCTACGGATAGATTAATCAGTTTGTTATTTGTAACGTTTGCTCGGGAAGAACGGGATCGGGTCTTTGAAAGGGAAAATCCACCCGTGTCGAGACTTTGTAGATGTCTGTTTGAAGGAGGGCTATTTTCTTTACTTTTTAATGGTACGAGGTGGGTTTGTTTGACATGGGGACGTCATACGGGTCGAGACACGACTTAATTCCCCGTGGGGTTTGATGTACAGAAAAGGGCTGTAGACTTATATTACAGAGATATGATATGTGATATGAGAGTTGTATGACCGTTTGTAGGAGTTGTGATGGTGACGTCCCCTGGGTCACGACATGGACGATGTGGGACGACTTGTCAAACGATGAGAGGTGTATGAGATATGAAGTAGATTTGTTTGTCAAACGTGTCTTTTCTCTCTTATGATGACAATGTTCTTTTAGATTATGAGAGCAAAGTGAATATTTATTTATATAAACATCATCATCTCCTAGACACCTTCTGTATAACACAGCTGCACATTTGTCCCCTGCATTGACTGATGCAAGAAGGAATGCACAACCGTTACGATCTATTCTAGTCATCATCAACTCAATAGTACCAAAATACAAGATCCTTACCAATGCAAGATGTGCTGTAGATGTTACATGTTGTGTGCGTTGTGTTTGTGCTGTGACCCCACTGAAAATGATCGTCCTTCAGGCTGTGCTATCCCCTGAAAGAGAAAATACAGGGGTAGTCCAGGTTTGACCGCCCAATGTCTCGGATCTTCAGCCGACGTCTTGATCAGCGTCAATTTGTTTTGTTTCAACAATTGAAATGTGAGGTTATCTCCAACATCTTCTTGAAGAGATACAAGCTTCGTGACACGACACACTGCAGCTTTTACACCGAATAATTGACGACACCCAGACTTACTCATTATTTTCTTTCTCCTGATACCCGTTGTATTTTCTGCGTATGTCAATCTTGAACACTGGAGATACAGCTTTGAGGCTCTTTAGTACACCGTCTCACTGAGTTGTCTGCAAATATTTATTATCAAGTCCAATTAGTTTTGGTTTGACATCACTCTCAATTGTAAGGCCTCCCATCGACAGACATCTACAAACCGAGACGTTGGCTGTACAACATTAAATCCTTCATCAACGTTACCTGAGAAAACGCCACTTCGCTATTCCACAGGCTCAAAATGGATCTCGACCCCAGGGATCGCGCAGAAGCTCTGCTGCTCAAGGCTGCCCGCGCACACGGCATCCCCGCCACAAAGGACGACATCCGCAGCGCCCTATCCGACACGACCTTTGTCGAGTGGGCGAATCTGCATCTAGCGACAGATCATCTCCTCACGGGTGATGAGTTGGCACTGTGAGTCGTGACCCTATTCTTGTGTACTCTTGTCTCTGACATTCATCTAGGTATACTGCTCTTGACAAAAGCGGACAGGTCGATCGGCTCGCTGACCTGCATGACTTGGGAGAAGTTCAGGCGGTGAACGAAGATGATATTCGTGCCGCCATAGAAGAGCTGAATCGGTCTACAGAGACCATAACTAAGCAGACAGAGACGTTGCGTCAGCAGCAAGACGCTCTTGCGCGCTTGGTAAAGAAACGTGATGAGGCGGAGCATGAGCGCAGGGATCTGGAAGAGGAGCGTCTTGACAAGACAAAACATGCCTTGAAGAAGCTGGTTTTTGAGGTAACACATGCCCCCTCTCTTTGTTCGTCATCGTGTTGATCCCGTTTTAGGTCGATGGTGAGGCACAGAGTCTCGAATATCGTGTTGCAGATTTGGAGCAGATTGCTAAGAACTCTCGATCTAATGTGAAAAGAACGGTTGACAGTGTTTTGCAATCTGATGATAAGTTGTTGTTGAGTCTTCAGAAACTTGGTTGGGAACTTGATCAACAGGATCCCGAGGAGGAAAAGAGGATTGAGAAGCTGCGGGAAACTTGTATGAGGTATGTTCATTTCCGTACCTCTGTTGAATCAACACTAACTTTTGCAGATTGATCAAGACAACTGTCGAGACCCTTCGTACAAGACTAGACAGGATCTATCTCGAAGCCATCCTAGAAGCAGAGCGCTCAGGAGATGTTAAGTCTGCTACTCAAGACGATGTCAAGGCCCTTGAGGAAGAGCTCGAGTCACTTTACTCTGAGATTCTACCCGTTGCGCAAATGTCGGCTGAGCAACAGTATTTGGAACCAGCTCTCAAGTCAACAGATGCTCAAAGCGGACAAAGTCTGCGCCGCTCAGCTGTGGCAGTGACATATGTATGCCTATCCATCATAACCGCTATGCCCATGGCAGGATTACTGACGTTGTACAGGTCAACGAATGTCTGGATCATCTCGTAGACAAGATAACACTCCTCACAGAGAGAGTAGAAATCCTCAAGTCCCACAATGCAGCAGCATCCTCCATCATCGCCACTGCCAAAGCCGAATCATCCGCCTCTCTCTCCCCGGAGAAGAAAAAGTCTCTTCGAGCAGCCATGCCAGCATCGCCTATTCGGAACCCATCACCCATTCGCATGCGCGCCAGCACAGTCGGCAACCGTCGCGACGCTACCAGCAAAAACAGACGTCGCTCCTCCGGCATGCTCGACGAACCCGCCATAGAAGCTCTTATGCGCGACCTCTCTTTGTCACTACCCGACACAGAGGATGCGTCCATCCAAGACCAGGTATCTGCTCTGAGCAAGGCTTTTAGAGATCGCTCGGATAAGACGACGGATGTGATGCGTGGTGCGCAGGAGAGCTTTGAGACGAGTGTTACGTCAAGGCTTGATGATGCGAGGTTGGCCATTCAATTGCTGCGTGATAGCATCTTGGCGGAGAGTCCGTTTGGGCCGGTCAAAATGCTTGATCCTGAGTTTGAAGAGTCGGTTGTTGCGTTGGAGAAGGATGTGGAGGGTTTGAGGGTGAAGGTGGATGGGATTGTTGATAAGAAGGCTTTGGCTAAGAGTGTTAAGAAGGATGAGTTTGTGCAGCGGTGGGCGTAGTTTAATGGTGTTTTAGAAAGAGTGGTGCTGTGTAGAAGGCACCGATTAGAGGCTCTGCTGATGTCTTGCTAAAGTACCTGTCACCAGCGAGATCTACACAGGTTCCATCTAAGGATAACTACAAGTTCAACAAACAATTTATACCAAACATGATTGCCAGAGACAGTAGAGATTGTATGGTAATATTAGACTATACATGCAACCACGCATGGTCAATAAACATAGGTTGCGAAAATATACTATCCAAAGAATACTGCTCCAAGCCTTCATATAAATCCCCCGCGCCCACAAGAGTCTCAGCCATATTAGTCTGCCGCTGCTCCGTCCTCCTCTCACCAACAGGATGCACAAAAGTCGTCTGCACACTTACAGTCGTCTTGGACGCATCAGCCTGATTACCCATCGCTTCCCCCATCGTCGGCTGTGGAGCTACCGCGTCCATTATATCCGAGTCAATAAGCTGCCAGATCTTTGAAGGCTGGAAACTTATCATGTTGTTATCGTGAGCTTGACTGGACATACTTTGCAACTGATGTAGAAGTTCTCGCTGTTATTTGTTAGCCTTGGAAGTTTGAAGGGGTGGTTTGATGGACCTTTTGTATACTTCTTGGAGAAGGATCTGGCATACTCTCTAGAAAATCGATGCATTTCCTATAGTTTTCCTTTGATGTTTCTGAGACTTTTGTATCACGAGCGTATTGGAATAACCACGGGATTGTAGCTGTCGCAGCTACTAGATCCCCGATTAACGGATCGTAAACCATTAATCCTCGATCCATACACGTTTGAACCAGCCTCGTAACCCACGCTGAATGAAACATGGCTTGATCAACCGTCTGCTGAAGAAACAGCCGAGGTTGCGATGGTCGGTTCGCTCGTCGCAATGTAACAAGGTGAATAAATGGGTGATTCAACAACGCCTGCGTCGCATGCGCCGTTATCTGGAACAATAACCAAGGCGCCCAGTATTCCCTATGTCTCTCAAACTCCTCTGACGTTCTTTCCGAAAAGCCCACATTGCGAACAAAATGTATATGTCCAAGCCTTGACTCTAGATCATAAAGTGTATTGGTCAATTGGTAAAAGTTGGAGTTTGTGTCAGCAGGATTATCCGCCTTTCCTATACGCAGAGCATGGAGATATGATATGACGTCTCCGCAGAAAGATACCGCGCGTACAGCATGTGAAGTGATTCCAGGATCTGTTCTTAGGTCATCCCGGATGGTGACTAAGTCTGGCGCGTACTCTTCATCGCCTATGTATGCTGGTGGTGAAGGCTCACGGGCGCTGCGAGGATATTCTGGTTTGGAGTGTGTTTGGGATAGAAGTGTGAAACGAGGTGTGAAGCCTTTTTCTAGAATGAAGACGCTCCAGTAACATCGGAGACTGGAGTCGCTGGGGGAGTCGGAGTAACATGCTCCGCGGACGAGTTCAAGTCTTCCGACTGCTCCTATCGTCATCAGCGCGAGCGCTGGTCTTCCTTCTGTGAGTTGACGATTAGTATCATGGCTGGTAGAATGAGGCTTCTAAGATGGGTACCAAGTATATCGCCTAGAGCGAGTAAACACAGCGCTTGTGAGATTTCCAACTGAGCTGTTCCTCTCATAGCGAGTTCTAATACTATATCCCGCGCAGCTCTCGCATGCGAATGGATAAGGTCAGCTTCCTTGGCGCTGCTCGCATCATACGGAAGATTAGAAAGGGCAAGTGCGAGAAAGATCCATTGTAAAAACATGGGAAATCTCTCGATGCGTTCTCTTAGACCTTGAGGATCGAAGAGAGGTAGTGGTTGGAAGTATAGCCGTCTTCGGTATTCTTGTACTGCATTGTCAATTGAAGCTGACGATGGGCTTACTTCTGGTAGAGAAGACCTGTTGATGATTAGAGAGCGCTGTAGTCAGGATAAGAGGAGTTACCAGGATGCTGTGGGTTCTTCGTGAATGTTTATCCTGTTGATGCGTCTTGAGGTTCTTTCTATAGTGGAATTTGTCCTGTTCCTCTGTCTTGGTAATGAGTCGGGTGTCAATGCCGAGCCAGTACTTGACGAGGCGGCATGCGGTCTGTTTATGTAAGTCAGTCAGTTATAGGTAGAATAAATGTTGGTGCTTCTTACCCGAGAAGCCCATTTATCCCTTCAGCATCCTCTCGGAAATTGACAACTCGGTCACTGAGTCTTTGTCAGTACAGCTTACAAGAGGTATTAGTTGACTCACGCTCTAGATGTCCTCCTCTTTCTCTTAACAGTCTCTCTATTCCTCGGCAAGTAGACGCAGTCCTGCTGCAAACGCTCACAGAAAGAACATATAGGTCTTTCACCAGTACATTTTGTCTTTTTGCGTCTGCGTCGATCAAGTCAGTATCCTACTTCGTTAGATTTGGGATCCATGCCATTGGTACTTACCGACAGCTCTCACAAGCACGTCGCACGGAAGATTCGGAATGAGATGACATGACCACTTCAACGATGGGTTTTAGAATGACAGTGTATACATGTACATTGGTTAGTCGATACTGGGGAAAGGCGTGTAAGTTGTTTGGTGAGGATTGGGGGAGATGGAATTGACTCCGTGCCCACCAAGGATAAGTATCCCGACACGTGACCTTGGAGTTGGAGATGGAATTGGGGTCATTGAAGTTCTTATACAGAGAAGACTTGGTAAAACAGATTTCTTTTCTTTTTTCAGTCATATCTGAGTATTTAGTAAGAGTGTTTCTTGAATAATATGTTTATTAGTGACTCCAAAGCTTAGTAGGGAACTATCGTGGTAATTCTCCGTACCCTCTCTGTTGAGATACCGTGAAACACGATTGGTCAATGGCTCTCAACACGGAGTTTTACATTACTTTTCCGTTCTCTCCTTGATCATGTCGTCTACTATAAATCCAGATATTTCGTTTACTCAAGTTCTCTTTTCATATTCCACTCTTATTATACACTTACTTATAGTATTGATTCTATAATCTTTTTAAAATGACCTCCAGAAACCCAGTAGCCAAGAACGAGCCCATCGTCATTGTTGGAGCTGGTGTCTTTGGCCTCTCAACCGCCCTCGAACTCAAGAACAGAGGCTATCAAAATGTCACAGTCCTAGATCGTTATCTCCCGCCCGTCATAGACGGAAGCAGTGTTGACATCTCCCGTGTTATTCGCGTGGAGTACGCTGATCCCTTCTATGGCAAAATGGCCCGCGAAGCCCTTGACGGTTGGACGGGTCAATACTCTGACCACTTCCACCAGTCAGGCTTTGTGATGCTCACGGACAAAGCAGGAAACTCTTTTGCCGAGCAGAGCAAGAGTGCCAACAAGTCCCTTGGAGATACACTGGAGGAGTATGAGGATGCACACGATATCCGCAAGCCGTTCCCTGCGGTTCAGGCTAAGCTTGATGGCCTGAAGGCGTACTATAACAAGACTGGTGGTTGGGCTGATGCTGAGTCGAGTATACGACAATTGGCTATGGAGTGTAGTCTTGCTGGTGTTTCCTTCATCACAGGTGCAAGAGGACGTGTTTTGTCATTGCGGTACAGTGGACGTAAAGTCACTGGCGTCAACGTCGCTGAAGGAGAACCCATCACAGCTGCACAAGTCATCTTGGCTACAGGAGCATGGTCAAACAGACTAGTTCCTATCAGCCATGCTTCATCTGGCTCAGGTCAACCAGTTGGCTTCATCCGTCTAACTCCCCAAGAAGCAGAGAAGCTCGCAAACATGCCCGTCATCATCAACCTTAGCACAGGAGTTTTTGTTTTTCCTCCTACACCAAAGACGCATATTCTCAAGATCGCACGCCATGGCTATGGATGGGCGACAGAGTTCGATGCCCAAGATCCTCTAGGTGAATCTCGAAAAGTGTCAACTCCAAAGAGAGATGAGAACAACGCAACTGCGAATTATCTCCCCGAAGATGCTGAAAAGGCTCTCCGTGAAGGTCTACAACAGCTTGTACCAGAAATTGGTAGCCATGAGTGGCTGAGACAGCGTCTCTGCTGGTATTCCGATACGCCTGAGGGCGACTTTATCGTGGATCATCATCCTGCTCGCGAGGGAATCTTCATGGCTACTGGTGGTGCCGGACAGTAAGTTTACCTTGATCATGACAGGAAGAAATGTACTAACAGATTATGCAGCGGGTTCAAGTTTCTTCCTGTTTTAGGACGATATATTGCTGATTGCTACGAGAACAAAGCTTCTGAAGAGCTTCGACACAAGTGGAGGCTTAGAGCGCCGACTGGGAAGGACATGGTGAAGCAGGGTGATGGTAGCCGAGGTGGTCCTCCATTGCGCAAGTTGACAAGGCTCGAACAGGCCAAGCTGTAAGGTAATATTGATGCTACTGAAGTAAATAGATATGATAGAGTAGAACCATCCTTTATCAGCATGGACTCATCACTTAGCAACTACTTGGGTCTTGAATCTGTACATGTCACGTCTACGTTTACGAATGGCCCCTACGGTGGTGTTTTTGTGCTGTATTATATGGAATATGGACATATGTGTGACATGGAGTATCCCATCGCTTTGGTGACTTGACTCGGAGTCTGTCAACCAACCTGCTGACATCTTAGCCAAGAGGAGCACATGTGAAAGCATTCTTGACAGTTCCACGATCGTACTGATCAATCTGCAAATAATGTTAGTCTTTGTTTTGAAGATCTTGTGTGATAGTTTACTTACAATATCGACAACCGCCGAGTAAGTTCCTGCAACCAAAAAGACGAGGCCCATAATGAAGATAATGAGGTTGACAATAGCCGGGAGGATATTCTCACGGCTGTACCATTTGCCTTTCTTGAGTAGCATGAACCACATAACAGCAGGCCAGTACAGCGTGAATCCAGAGTTGAGAAGACTGGAAGTGATGGCGATCAAGTCGCTGAAGAAAGGGATAGCTTCGGCAATGATGAAACCGATCCAGGTAAAGATGCTAATAATCAACAACCAAGAGATCCATCCCTTGGGAGTGTTGATGTACTTGGCGATGGAATTTTCGTGGATTCGACCGTGGATGTAACGTCCAGCAACAGTTGTGTTGATAGAGCCGCTAATGAAAATGACGGGCAATGCGACGCCAAAGGCAACCTTTGCGACTGTATGGCCTGCAGACAAGAGAGCTGGAGACTTGACATCTACACCAACGAAGGAGTAGATGAGAGCGCCAGTGAGGGTGTAAATGATGATTTCTAAACCGCCGAGCGTCCAGATGGACTTCATGTAGTCGGTAGGCGTATGCATCTCGTCCATAAAGCTAAACTGCGAGATGGAAAAGCTGTAGGCGAAGAAGATGTTGCAGAGCGCAATAAAGGCCTGCGCAAAAGTGACATCCTCCCTGGGCCAGGCAGACCAATTGACTGGTTCAGGTGATTCATTTGACCTGATACCTGTGGCGATGATGGTGATGCCGATAGCTGCGATGATGGACGCAAAGTCGATATAGCCCAGAATAGCCACCTCGGCAAAACTAGGAGGTACCGCGAGAAGAATAAGGATGATGGCAGAGACGACACCCCAGATAAGACTGCACATGTCACTCTCAGTCAGAGTCGAAAAGGCGATGGTTCCTGTCAAGCAGTGTGAAGCTGTGAGGAGGAGGAGCTGGAAGGTGACCATGGCGCCAAAGATTTCGGCTCCCCAACGACCAAACATGAGACCTCCGGCGGCCGGATAGTGCTCGACGTGCGGGTACTTGACCTTGACCTGGCCGACGATGTACGAGGTGTAAATGGCGATGAGACCGATACCGACGGAGCAGATAACGCCGGCCACCATACCGAGGGTAGCAAAAGCGCCGGGAATAGAGAGCGAGCCGAGGGCGACGGCCTGGACGATGAGGACGATGGTGAGGCGCTTCCAGCCGAGACGGTTGAACTTTGCCTTTCCATCGAGAATCTTGCGCTTCTCAAACTCGGTGACTTCGCCGATCATCTTTTCGCTGGTAGAGTCATCGTCTTCACGAGCGATGGGATCTGAAAGGATATTGTTGTCTTGAGGATCTTGTCCTTGAGGCGTATCCTTTGTCTTGGTCTTGTTCTTGTTGGCGGCGGCTTCGACCGAGGTAGTAGTTGTGGGGATCATTTTGTATTTTGGCGTGTGTAATCAGTCTATCATTGTCACACAGACAGTTTCAATTCCAAGTCGGACTCTGATGATTGTCTGATAGAGTTGAGTTGAGTGGGTGAAGGAAGTAAAGGTCGAAAGTCAAGTCAAGGCGGGACCATGCAATCTTTGTAGGGCAAACAACATGATGGAGTGACTCCTCCCCCCTTTAGACCGACGTCGGACATTGTCATAGCAGATTTGATCCTCGTCTTAAAGCTGGGAAGAGGCGAAGGAAAAAGTTTGTCAGTCCATGTCATGTCACGATCCATGGATGGAGTACGAAGTGGATATTCGCATCGTCTTTCTAGAAGCAAAGCTTCTTTATGAGGTTTTTAGTTGGTTAGTTTATTAGTGCTCCACTAACAAGCGAATCAGCTAACGTCAGTAGCTGAGAACTATTTTTGCAAGACTTAGAAGACTTTTCTTGGCCATCAACTACTACACGTTGTCTATCATTATTCTCATTCGAGAGAGAGATGTTGTTAAGAAATTTACTAGAATTCATTAAATCCTATAGAATTCAACTGAGGAATAATATTCTCTAAGTTGGAGAAGCCAAATAAAGATGCTGGAGAACAAAATAGACCGATGACACTTAGTGGATTCTCTTACTCAAAAATCGGTCCATTTTACCTAATGATTCCCATAAAACTTCAAAGCGGAAAGCGGAGGCCCCGAGTCTGTTCTCGCCCCTTGAATGAAATACTAATCCTTTGGATCTTTTGAGACGCGGAGTCGATCGTTTAATGCTGGGGAACAGATGTTCAGGTTCAGGGTCTAAACTTTATATGGTCAATAAACGGGAGAGATGCATCGTTGCATGCGGGTGTTAGTTCAATGGCGGTTATAAACGGAACCGTTTTTGAAGTGTACAAGTATAGACATGGGTAGCTGGTTAGTTACAGAACCAATTGCTCTTTGGTCGTCTAAGCATCTTTTTCAGCTCATATTTGGCGTCGAGGTTGGCTGAGAGACAGTTGAGATATGCCATGTGCGATACCTTAACTTAGCCATCAATGTGAAGGAAAAGTAGACAAAAATGACATTGCTTAATACGGTATCTAAATAAAATCCCCAAACACCATACACACCATACAACGGTCTTACATCCCAAGCCTATTGATGCCCTTTCCCATACAAAATCCTCCTCTTTTGACAGAAAGCTCAAGGTTCCTCAGAACATAACCTTATAGCGATCTCAAAGCTCCTCAAATCTGCAGAATACCAAGATCTCATAGCACTATCTTTCAGTTTGGCTTTGATCTCATCAAAGACCCTCTTCAGCGGTCCTTTAACCGGCAGGTCATGCGAAACATGCCCTTCTACCAACTCCGTCGGCCTCAAATCCCACACTTGGCTCTTCGTTCTGACTGATACAAAGAGTGAATCTCCCTCTGCAAGTTCAAACGGGAAAAGAAGCGTGGGCGCTAGATAGTTGATGCCCATGATAATCTCTGTGGCTTGGCAATCGCCACATTTATTTGCCACCACGCCTCCTTCTGAGAGTGTAGGCGGAAACCTCCAGATTTGTTTGACAGTGGTTGGCATGGGCATACCAGTGTGGACATGGCCACAATCTATGTGAAGAGAAAAATCGACGCGGCAGATGGGACAGGCTATGGGTTGATGGTTCCTGACGAGGTCGTTGATCATTGTCATGGCGCACTTACTACCAAACATGTGTCCACAGGGAAAGATACGAGCTCTATGCGAAAGATGAGACATTTCTGGATCGTAAGTATGTTCATGCTGGAATACTGTCATGTTTTCAAGACATATTCCGCATTCAAGATGCAGGTTGTTGTAGGAGGATGGATCTTGTAGGAGAGCGTCTCTGAGGACGGGCCAGTACGTGTTACTAAGTATGGGTTGGCTGGCTGAAGGTGTGGGTTCTCGGTTGAGGATGTTGTTTATAGACATGATGTCTGTACATTGAAGAGCCATCTTGGTAAGTTGTGGTTTAGTAGATGAAGTAAGCAAGTTGTAATAAGATGATACGAGTTGACGAGAATTCCATTTCTTATTATTTGAGACTGTGATTAAGCTATGCTGTTAACCTTTAATCCCATTGTTGTAGTTCGCGGACATGTTCGTTGACAAAGAAATCCGCTGTTCACAATCCTTTCAACTACTTGCAATGCTCTTGTTAACAATTTTTCTCACCATATTGCATTGTTAGTCATTGTATCGTCAACAAAGAGCCTCTGTCAACTATCTGAGCAGTCTCACACTTGGAGTGGTCCGTGAAGGTATGCTGCTCAAGCAATCTGATTCAGAGACGCGCCTTCAAGCGAAATATTGACTATTATACAGGAGATATATGTTGTCAATCGAAAGAAGTGAGACGATTCATCCGGTACTGTAGTTATCTGGAAACGTTTCGCGACCACTCAGACAGAGTAGAATGGCTTTACTCTAAGCTCCTTTATTGTGCCAACAACGGAAGGTTGTAGCAAGTGTACTGTTCTGATGAACACAACTTCCATATCTTTACTCCATTGAAGTTGTCAAAAGGCCCGACTGCGGACACCGGTGAAACCACTTTTCGTTCCATCATTAACAACTTCTGGCCTAGCTTTAAGCAAGAGGTCGAAAGCGATGAACGAAACATTCGACCTCATGCACTGCGGTGCGTTCTCTGCGCAGAGCTCCTGCTCACCCAGCCAGGCCAGGTCCGGTATGATGGGCACTGTCCTTGGATCCTCCCTTGTGGACACATGCTGGGCTACAGCTGTTTGCAGAACATGGCACAGGGAATTTGGGGTTTCTTTGACAAGAGTCTGGACTTGTCATGTCCCATCTGCCATGCTGACATTCCACTCCAAGGATGTGGCTGCAAAGCTATGGGAATGCAAGCTCCTCTCGACAAGGAATTCTTTTCCACTGTCTCCCCAGTTTCGGCTGAATGTGGCCTCACAGCTACAAGTTGCGGAATCTGTCAAGGTAAGTCAGCCCTCCAGGAACTCCGCGAAGTCGCAGCTCTAGATCCTCCCATCCTCGGACGAGGAGAGACAATGAATCTAAGTCTTACCGTAGAGCCCTCGTACCTTGGTATTGTCTACCAGAAAGACCAATACCAGTTGGTCAGCCCCGGTGACAATCGAGCCAGGAGGCAGAAGATGATGATGGATTGGGAGGTTCCAAAATATGTGAGGGATCTTTGGGAGGATTATGTCAAGACATGGTCTGAGCAGCAGCGGCTATGGATCTTTCCTCACCCCGGCTTCTTTACCCTTTGTGCCTCTGTGGAGAAAAAGGGAGAGAAGAAAGAAGGAGAGGAGGAAGAGGAAGAGATGGGATTATTGGACAGAATTAGGGGTATGTGGTCAGTTTGAAGACACAGGAGAACAGTCCCTGGAGGCAGGCACTCCTTGAATATGTTTGACAGTATGGACACAGGTAAGTAGCGATTCAATCTAAAGAGGCAGACGCCTTTGCCCCTCCAAAACAGTCTAATGTCCAATGCCAGAGTGATACTAACACTTGACCCGGTAAAAGGCGCACAACACTCGCATTTAAACAAAACTTCACATTTAAAAGACACAGAACAAACAGTTTTCCTCAAATATCTCACAGTTGAGTTGTATTCACCCCCACAGGAGGCTACCCAGAACTAAATATCTACATCAATGAATAAACATCCCCTCTTCCCCTCAAGCCCGAAGCTTGCAAGTCAAGATCTCATACTAAAGCGAATTCGACACGCTTAGTAGTCATCCTCAGCATCAGCAGGGCACTCTTCGTCATCATCAGCGACGGGCTCCTCCTCATCGTACTCATCATCACAGTCCTCATCCTCATCAGCGACAGGCTCCTCCTCGTCATAGCAGTCCTCATCATCGTCGGCGACAGGGGCAGAGGTGGGCTGGGCAGAACCAGAGTCGGCAGCAGAGCTGATAGCGACGGCCTGGAGAGTGGTGGCAGCGGGCTTCTCAGCAGCGGCAGTAGTAGCGACGGGCTCCTCCTCCTCATCACAGTCCTCATCGTCATCCTCAGCGGCGGGGGCAGAAGTAGCGGGCTCCTCGGCACCAGAGCCGGAAGAAGCAGTAGGAGCGGGAGCAGTGCCGGAGCCGGAAGAAGCGGAGGGGGCAGGGGCGGTACCAGAACCGGAACCACCGACGACAAAGTCAACACAAGCCTCGTAGGTCTGGTCGATATCGGGAGCGTCCCAGAACCACTGGAGAACACAGTCTCCAGCCTTGGTGCACTCACCACCCAGGCTCTCAGGAAGAGTAACACTGAAAGCAGTGTTGTTGGAAGCGGTACCAGAGTTGGAGGCGTAGTTCTCAAACTCAATGAGAGGCTCACCAATCATGCTGTCAGAAGAAGTCTTGACAACAGAAACGTTGGCGTAACCAGTGTGGGGAGCAGCAATGTTGATCTCAAAGTCAATCTTCTCGCCGAGGCTGTAGCTCTGAACATTGTCCTTGTTATCGTCGAACTGGAAACCCTTGCAGAGCCAGAGGTTGCAGTCAGTGGCGTCAAAGCTCTGACCAACAACTTGCTTGATGCCCTGGACGTTGCCGTTGATGTCGGAGGACTGTTGGTAGAAGGGCTGTTCACCACAAGCGGCCTTGAAGGCATCACCGGGCATGCGGGGAGCGGGAGACTTGATGAAGCCGTGAGCGGCGACGAGGGGAATGAGAGCGAGGATGCTGGCGGAGTTCTTCATTTTTGCGGTAATTGTAGATTGTAAAAAACTGAGTAAGTTGTCTTTTTTCGTGGAGTGTCTCTAGGACCAGAAGTTGTTTGTTATAAAGAGTGGTAAATAATATAAACGGCCGTCAAGGCTCGAAGCGAAAGTGAGTGATTGAAAAAGAGAGTGAAAGTGAAAAAAAGAATGTCGAAATCTGGTCCTTCGAGGTCCGTGAAAGAATAGAGGTTGAGAAGTAAGAGAGAGTAGAGTCTGAAGAGATGGGTTAAACAAGATATATACTACGAACCCCCATGAGAGAGGACAGGGTTTAGACAAGAAGAGGATCTGATACAAACCACTCGGCCGACTCAAGCGAGACGGTGGACCAAAGCCTGGACCCTTGTTCGCTCCGTAGTCAATCTCAATCTTGTTGATAGTCCCTTGTCTGGTCTCATTCAACGGGCGACAAGCGCCGGGTGATGGTTAACTCTAGTAATTAACTCTAATAACTAACTATGTACATATTAACTTTACCATCATTTTTATTACTTTTCTATAGTAATATTCTCACCAACATATATAAACAGTAATGTTTAGTTTTGTCTATCAAACACCACCCATCCCCTTCTGTTTCGTCTTGACCAAACATGACATACCACCACGTTCATTCCATCTCAAGAATAACCTTGCTTGTACACCGTTGCCAAGGACCGACTTCACCGGAATTCGAAGCTCGCACCAAGAACCAAAGACAGAAGATTCGTCCGTTTGTATTTTCCCCGCTGACAAGTTATGCAGGTACAAGACAGAGAGACAGGTCAGGGCGTTTGGAGCCAGCGCAAGGGGCAGTATTTTTATTGGTGGAACTACAAGGTTTGTTGTTTGAGCCTCAAGTTGGGACAACACCCACCAAGATCTGACAGAACATTGAACCAATAACATATTATGCCGCTGACCTTTACTTAATTAAAGAAAAAGAAGGATTCTTCCGTTCGGTAGCGGTTTCGCTTACGGGTATTGCTTCAATATCTGGACAACGGCCCTTCTCTACCTAAAGATAAACCCCATATTCACTTACTCTACTGACTCAACTCAACTCAACAACAAAGCATTCCATCTCTATCCGTACAATACAATGCAATACAATATAGCACAACTCAATTCATCTCTAAAGACATTAACCGGTTAATTACATCCTTGAACATATGTGGATCCCTATAAACCCTGTACTCTTCACGATTCTCATCCATGGAAAAACTATTGACCCCTGTCACGTCTCCCGAAACTCGAAACTGTTCTCCGACAAGACCAAGAGCAATCCGCGTTTCAGGCCAGGCCATGTAAAAATATCAGTGGCTATCGTTATCCCTTTTTCCCGCTGTCAGTTCATCCCTTGTCTTTTATCGGAAGACGGCAGTCAATTGATCATGGGCATCAACAGGCATGAACATCTTGGCAGTTAATCTGTTTCTCAGCTATCACGATAAGACACAAGCTTCAGATGACAATTATCCGTCAATTAATTATGCGACTACATAACTTCCTCCTCTTCAAGGGTATTACAATGCACTTGCATTCCATGCACATGCATCCCATGTCGAAACGTACAAACATAAACCTCCATCATCTGACCGTGAGTAAATGCATCAGTCGCTACATCATCCCATCATCAAACATCAACAGCCCAATAAAAGGCCGAAATATAAATACAACCAACATCTGCCGTAAATGAACACACGCCGTATGCATGCATGATTTTAGATGGGCTCATCACGAGGCTCAATAAGCACCTCATTGACGGCAACGTGTGGGGGTTGACACACAGCGTAGACAATAGCGCTGGCCACCTCTTCAGGCTTGAGAACCTCGGCGCCTGTAGGCTCACCGTACTTCTTCAAAGCCTCCTGGTCGGTCGACATGCCCAACAGGTCTGTGGCCACATTTCCGGGCTGCACAGCTGTGACCCTAAGACCAGAACCTGCTGTCTCGAGACGCAGTGCCTGTAGTGTGGCCTCAACAAAGAACTTGCTAGCCGAGTAAACGCCCAGACCAGGGAATACCTTGCGTCCAGCATCGGACGAAATGGCGACAATGTGTCCAGATCCACGAGACAACATACCCGGGACTGTCGACGACAAGGCGTGCAAGAGGCCCTTGCAGTTGACATCAACTGTGCGCTCCCACTCATCAGTCTGGTTGTTGGCCATCATGGTAAAGTACATGACACCCGCGCAGCTGACAAGGATATCGACAGGGCCAAGCTGTTCGCTTGCCTCCTTCATCAGGGACTCCACCTGGGCCTTGTTTGTGACATCGGTCTTGTGGATCAACACTTTACCACCGTAGACGCTAATCTTCTTCTTGACGTCTTCCAGGGCTTCGGTCCGTCGAGCCGCCACGGCCACATGCGCGCCCTCCTTGGCAAGGCCAGCTGCTACAGCGGCGCCAATTCCAGAAGAAGCGCCAGTCACCACTGCAACCTTGCCTACAAGGCGACCCTTGCGAGCCTTCTTGGCACAGCCATTGACTTGGCCTCGGCGAGGAGGTCGAGACAACCAACCACGAGCGTAAAAGTGTCGCATGTAAATCTCGAGAAGACCTTCGTTCATCTTGGGGCGAGGAACATTGTACTTGTCAAGTGTAGGCTGTGTCTTTCCATCCTTGAGCACAATGACTGACTTGAGAACCTCGTCACTGGGCATACCACCTCGGAGAATGTCGACAGTGAAAGGATCGTTGCCAGTCTTCTTGTTGCCTCGCTTCTCCCACCACAGAGCAACCCACTCATCCCAGGGTAGAGGTTCGGTGGGGTAGCCCAGCTTGGCCAGAGTGGAAAACAGGTCCTTGGAAGGAACAGGAGCAGGATCACCAAGATGGTAGAGAGTCTGCTCGCTGTCTCCAGTGTGGTTTGCGAGAGTGACGATAGCATCACTGACAAAGTCGGCAGGAGTCATCTCAATATACCAGCCCTCGACATCAGGAGCGCGACCGAGCTGGAGGGACTCAACAATAATGGCATTGATCAAATCCCAGGCATTGGTAGAACCAGAAACACTGTGACCGCTGATAGTTCCGGGACGGTAAACTCGCACGGGAATGCCTCGGCGGCTTGCCTCGTCGACGAGCTTCTCAGCAACCCACTTGGTCTGGCCGTAACCATCGAGAAGCTTGGTAGGAACATCATCAACATCAATGACAGTGTTCTCGCACCAACCAGTGTGAGAGGGTGGAAGCACGCCGTTGGTAGAGACGTGGTGAACAGTAGCGCCACTGCGGCCAGCAAGACGAAGGATCTCTCGGGTGCCGTTGACGTTGGCGTTTCGCAGAGCAGCGTAAGGGTAGACCAGGTTGACGGTAGCAGCAGCGTGGACAATGACTTGAACACGAGTCGATAGCTCGTCAAACACTTCAGGAGAAAGACCCAGTCGCTTCCTGGTAAGTGTACCGGGCAAGATCTCAATGCGCTCCAGCAGGTAGTCCTCCCAAAGTCCAAGATCGATCAAGTTCTTTCGGATACGGGCCATACCAGCGGGCGCACAATCTTCCACGGGCTCGGGGAATCGCACAAGACAGATAATCTGTGCGTCAGTAGAGTCAACCAGGGTCTTGAGGAGGAAAGCACCAAGGTAACCGGTGACACCAGTCAGGAGGATAGTCTCTGCATCCTTGAGGGCACGCATGGGGGTACCGTTACCCTGAATGTCGTCGGGTAGAATAGAGTCTGCACGGAGGACAGCTGGTAGATCAGCCTGCACAGCAGCGGTGTGACCGTCACGGGCTGCCTTGATGGCTGCGACATGTCCTTCCAGAGTGGGAGTTCCAGCCAGAGGAGCCAGAGGGACAGGGAAGCCAAAGGTCTTTGTGAGACGTCCAGCAAGATCGGCAAGAGCCAAAGAGTGACCTCCCAAGTCGAAAAAGTCGTGCTTTGGTGTGATGACGCTGGCGGGCATGTTAAGCGATGCGGCCCACAGCTGAATAACGGTCTCGGTCTTGACCTTGATGTTCTGCTCCTTTTTGGGGGCAGGTCTGGGCGATCTTGGGGATGGTGGTACAGGCAAAGCCTTGAGATCAGTCTTGCCAGAAACGCCATGTGTAGGTAGCTCGTCCACTTCGACCCAAATGGTAGGAATCATGTAGTGAGCAAGGTGGTCAGTGAGAGCACGTCGAGCGACGGGACTGTATCCGTAGTCGTCGACGAGAGGAATGGTTCGCTCTCGAGACTCACCCTTTTCGCGGACGATGTAAGCGACAATTTGTCGCTCCAAGCCCTCGCCGTGAGCTACGACCGCGCAGTCGCGGACGGCAAGATGCTTTCGGATGGCGCTCTCAACAGCGCTGGGCTGAACAGTATAACCACGAGTCTTGATCATACCACCAACTCGGCCAGTGATCTCCAAAAGTCCATTGGGGAGAATGCGGGCCAAATCGCCAGTTCTGTACATGCGAGCGTCCTTCTCTCCAGAAAAGGGATCCATTTGGAATGCCTTGGCTGTCGTTTCTGGCAAGTTGAGGTATCCCCGTGCCAAAAGGCTACCACCAACGTAGAGCTCGCCACTCACACCAGGCTCAACTCTGTTGCCAGCCTCATCGAGGACGTAGGTGTGCTCAGGGTCTGTAGGGAGACCCACGGGACACACTTGTGTGTCGAAATCGACAAAAGTCTTGATATCGCCAACAGCAACCTCGTGCGTCTCACAGGCGCTGTAGACGTTGAGAAGGCGTGTCTCAGGGAGGGCATCCACAGCACGGCGAACAAGGTCAGTAGTGACGACCTCACCGTTCAACCAGAGAGAACGAAGTTGGGGGAGCTTCTGACCGAGCTTGGGGTGTTGGGAAAGGACTGTGGCCAAAAGTGTGGGAGTCATGAGGGTATCAGTGATGTTCTTTGAAGATAGAAGCTCAACGAGAGCAACAGGGTCGTAACTGGCGTGGTCGGGGATGGCGACAGCTGTGGCACCTCGAATAAGAGGTCGAAGCATCTCCCAAATGAAGAAAACATTGCAGGCCACTCTGTCACCAGGCTTGAGGTCGTTGACGGCGAATCGCAAGTCATATGAGCGGATAGCGGCTCTGTGGGGGTTCATGATACCCTTGGGCTTTCCAGTGGTACCAGAAGAGTACGAGACAAAGAGTAATCGCTCAACATCGTCGTCCTCGGGGAGTGACCGTCTGTCGGTCAAATGAGGTGAAGATTCTCCTCGAGCTTGCTTATCGGGGCTGTCGACAACAATAACAGGAGTCTCAGATGTGAGGTTGCTAGAGTGCTCCACTTGAGTGAGAATGACAGTTGGCTTCGCATCTTCGATAACATCTCGTAGCAGACCAGGAGGGTAGGCGACTTCAAGCACCAAAAAAGCACCACCAGCTCGAAGGGCAGCAAGAGCAGCGATAACGTAATCGGCACTTCTGCCCATGAGAACACCGACTAGATCATCGCGACCAACACCGTAATCACGTAATCGCTCAGCTAGAGCCCAGGTTTCTCTGTCGAGCTCTGCGTATGTGAGGAATCTTTTCTCATCTTCGAGGGCCACGGCATCGGGAGTGGCTGAGGCCTGCTGCTCAAAGAGAGCAGCGAGATCCTTGTTGACATCAATGATTGTCATGTTGATTGTGTGTGAATTGAGAAGAAGAGGAGGAGAGTGATGGGTTTAAAGATAAAGATGGCAAAAGCGGTGGGTGGGTCACGCGACCAACTACAGACCCGGGGAGACAAGATTGAGACTAGGAGGATATGTCGGTGACGGGTCCGGTAATATTCAGGGCAGTCCCCAACAATTCCTGGGTAATGACCCAGTGGCGGAGCAGGCGAATCCTTTTCTGGGGACACAGTAAGTCTAGTTCTAGGCTTTCGATCCGAAATGAATGGAATTCAATAGAACAATCCCAATTCCTCAGTACCGTAGGTGAAGAGAAGTTGGCCTCAAGATGTTCGTATCGTTTGAGGGTCTCGCGGGGTCAATTAAGGTAGTGGGATGAGGCGTTGTCTGTGCTGTCAAGTACTACAACGTCACCCCAGTTGAAACGAAACAATGAAGATACTGAAAATGAAGAACAGTAATAGAAAGCCTCTAGGCCTGTGAATGTATGAGAAAAATATGTAAAAACAAAATAAATGGAAGCAGGCAGTCGCATTTTATCTACGACACTGGTACTGTACATCAGTCCGTAAAACCCCCCACGAAGAATTGGCTGTCGATTATTGGGTTTAGGCCGAGCTATACCGCCAGGTCTAGACACCTTTCAGGCATAGCTGCACGCCAATTTTGGGACCTGGGGGAGTCGGCATGGAGGGGACTGAATGTGCTATGTGTCTTTCCATGACTTGGTCAAATAATTAATTGCCTTTATTGGAAGTCATTGTTATAATTTAAAATATAATCATTCATCTCATCAAGATGCTCGAAAGATTTAAGTCTGACAACTTGTACCCTGTCACTTGAAACAATGTCTTCTCAACCAAACAACTGGGCCACTTTCACATGCTAGAAACAATCTTTTGTCCCCTACGACACCCCTGTCTATGTCGTGGGGCTACTGTTGTAGGGTAACCTTGATCGCGCAGACGAGTAGCACGTTAAATTAAGGATACGACAAACCCATATGATTGGAATACAATGAAATAAATACGATGGAACCAATTCGAAGTCTCAATACTCATCAAAGCTCTGATTGTGTCTGCCGACTTGTAGATGCAAGGAGCAGTGATGGGGTGGTTGAACTGTTGCTGCCGAGTGATGATATGCACAATGTGTTAATCCCAGCCATTTGAACCGGAATCTTTGCCTCACATCAAGTCACCTACATATCCAACTGCGGGATTAATTAAGTTTACGACTATTTTGGTTACTTCTCACGCGAGAACTTGTGGAAACTGGCACACTCTTCGGATCTCGCAGGGCAGACCACGTATTCTTCTTTTCTCCCCGTTCATTGTCATGAACACATAATGACTTGTTACTGTTCATCTGACTGTTCAAAAAACACAACAGTCACCATGATGATCCCCCAACAGAAAACTCATCAGTTCCTCTTCTAAAAAAACCACCAATCACTTTTCTATATCGCGATTCTCCCCGTTGACTTTATCCTGATTGGCGCCGACGACCCGAAGTAGAGGGGTCGGACCATCGCCGCCACCGTTGAGCATTGCCCTATTGATTCTCGTGCATGACGCTCGGGGAGTCTGTTTCTTGGAGGGCTGACGAATTAGATTTGTTTGAAGGTGAGCTTGTTTCGGGGAGCGAGGGGATTGGAGTCTTGGCTCCGGATGCGAGAGGGGATTGTGGGTTTGTTAGAGGAAGATCCAATGTCATGCGTAAAGTAGAGTCAAGACGCGCAAGTCATCGTTCTATCCTTGACAAATGCCTTGGATGAACTTTCAGAGTCTTGAAAAACAGAGCTAGAAGAAAAGAAGAGGGTGGCATTGAAGCGTGGGGTGACCATCATGCCCTGCATCTCTGTCCTGAATGGTTGTGTTCCATTTTCCATGAAGAAGGTTAAGGCTTGGCACACGACGTCAACCATCTTACTGCAAGGAGCCTCCAGAAGCCAATAGCAACTTGTAAACCTCAAGCAAAGACTTTAGCATATTTATCACTGGTCTACAGAGTAAGATTACTAATTGAGCAGACTTCCCCATTGGTACATCGCATGAATAATGCTTTTCTTCTTTCTTTAGAGCCGGCTGGAGTAACATAAACGTTGACTTCTAATCCCAAGACTGTAAAGAATAGATGGCCCGTTAAGATACCTAGACTGCAATGGAATAAACTGACCTGTTAGTTTTGTGTCTAGAACCCGACACCAGCCATGTTTTCGAGGGGCGATCAAAAGGTGTACAACGTGATGCCTCGTTCACACATAAATCCATTCAACAGCACTGCGACTAACGTAGTAGTGACCTGCTCTTCCAACTCGAACTTTCACTGCAATTTTAACGCCCTCCAAAGCACTACAATGGACTGAATGCATGAACATGCAGCCTCTATCTTAACACTAAAAGCACCAAAGTGAATCACGCCGTCTTATTGGCCCGTTATTAATTGAGCTTGGAAAGACGCGAGTGTTATGTCGCTGCCAATATCCATGTATCAACATCAATCGAGTCCCTCTTGTAGTGCAGTTATTCACCGTTGTCACTGTTATGTTCTATTTACCACACGCTCAATGACAGTCGCTACCACAAGGTGAAAAAGGCCAAGACCATCTTAATGAGCCGCCATTAATCGAGCCTTTAGACCAGAGAGTATCACGTCGCTATTGATGTGTGTTCAGCCGCATCAATTGAGCTTCTTTTATAATGGACTCAAGTGTCCGGCGTTGGCTTGTCTTCCATGTGCTCTGCCAGATGCTCTACAACAGAAGTTCAAGGTGAACAAGACCCTCGTCTTATCTTGCGTTCCTCCTCATTACAGCGACAAGATAAAAATTCCTTGATTTATTCACCACGATCCTCAATTCCAGAATAACAAACCGATAGAATTGGAAAATAATTATCGCAATCAAGTATTTAGGCTTGCAACTTCCCATTTTGATATTGAGTTTTTGCCCGACGGATATTACCTGCCTGGGATAAACGATGGCAAGCGTAGTGTTGTGGGTTAGCAGCTGGGGTAGACACAGAAGTCTTTGGTGAAGCAAAGACTGGCGGACGTATTATAATGGCAATCGATTGTAGTATTCTCCAATCTGGGACAGTTGAGCTATGAAACACCAAGAGCGAAATACAAACAGTTGTTACCCAAATCCCCCAGGTCCTCAATAATTCTCCCTAGCGGTTCGCATCTCCCACCATTTATTCAAATCGACATTGCTCACTATCGCATGACCTTGCTTGGAAATGTTCATCTTCTGTCTCAATCTCATACACCTTGGAGATCATCTCCCTGGTCCACTCAACTGGTAGATCGACATAACCAAGAGCGAGTCGCTTTGTCTCCCAATACTTCCAAATATCTGCCGGACTGGTAGCTTTCATATCGTTCACTATCTTCTGGCAGTCTTCGGGAACTCCAGGGTTAAAGTCGCAGCGAAACACCGTGGATGTCTTGTTGACCAAATGAACCATGGCTTCCTCGAATCCATCTTCAAATGTGAACTGGCGCCTCAACTCTTCCACCTGTTTGCTTGTAAGGTGTTTGAAAAGACCCAATTCCAAACAATCGCGTATAGCGTGACCCTGGGCAATGCGGCTGTGGATTAATTCCTGGAAAGCCTCTGTGCAGAAATCCGTGTAGGGGTCTGATTCCAGTAGCAGGGTTAGTGATCCAGTAGGAATGCCTTCATTACAAGTTGCGATAGTATCTAGAAGCCACCGGGACATATTTGTAATGATTGCTTCATCATCAAATATAGTCTCACAGGACCCTTGTGCCCAGCTAGACATGACCTCGTCGACGTTGCCATAGCTGCCCGTGATGTCGACGGCATTGACAATATTGAAGCGACGCTCTACCTGAAGCAAAGGGTTCTCTTTAAAGAAAGGAATCAACCCATTACAATGAAGGGACGATCTGTTCACTGATGGAGAATCCTCATGGAGGATCAGAGCACGGGTTTGGGTCCGTTGAGTGTTGGGAAGAATACTGAGGAATCGAATCGCAGTGGCAGCAGCAGAGAATCTGGCCAATCCGCGCCCGCGAGCGTTGAATTGAAAAGGTGGATGTTCGTAGTCCTCGAGAAAATAACTTTTTGGTAGGCTCCTGAGCTTGTCCAATTGTTTCGGTTTCCATGAGTAAGACCAAAGATTGGGAAGCTTCCACACAAAATCAGGGATGTAAAGACGTTCCATAGCGTTTTGAACTTGAGATTGTGAGGGAATCGCCCAGCAATCGAAGCGAAGGTCGAAGAATTCTTTTGCAGAATATTTGCCGATCCAATGTGGCAAACTTGTGTATACCCGGTTGCTAAATTCCTCCGGGTTCTCGTCTGCAATGAGTCTCAGACAATGAGTTAAACACTGGCGGACTTCTCCAGAGTACTTGTCCCATTGTTGGTAGGCCTCTTCGCATGAGTCCGGTCGATAGTCCCTGGGGAAGGATGGACCAGGGTATTCAAGCGCCCCAGCATAGCCCTGATAGGGCCTCGGATACGGATGGTTCTTGTCATATTCACTGATTTCGAAGTCATAAAAGTCTCGCACGAACTGGCATACAGCAGGTCGCATGTGGTTTGAGGTGCTCGTGTTGTCCAAATCTTGATCAGGTATGGTGCGATCGCCAGTGTCCCAGGTGCGAAAGTGAAAGGTTCGTTCGGCGTCAAGTTTTGAACGGAATCCGGGGAACTTGTTCTCCAATTGAGCATGCATTTCTGGGGTGATGAGATGGGCTAGGTGCAGCACGATATCTTGTTGCAATACGTAATAATATGCCGCTACAAGATTGAAGCATCCTGCTAGACTGCGCCAGTCCTCGCGGTAGAGGGTTGAGAAATGGATCGTATTGACGGCAAGAGGGAGATGCTTACAATCATTGGCAATCGAGCGACATGTGCAGATGAGAGAGAGGTCGATCAGGGTATCGTCGGCGTTCCTAAGCTTGTCGGACTGGCTGTTGTAGACGTAGCCGCCTTGGACTTTGAAGTATTCGCGAAATATCTGCTGTCTTATCTCCAACGGGAGATCCGTGATGCGGCGTTCGGTGGCCATGGTGGGCGAATGTGGGAGAGAGATCATGCGTTGGTGAGGTGAAGGAGGGAAAAAGTTGCCCCCACCTCCCTCAACACCAAGACCTTCATTTTAATCACATTACTTTAATAATATAATTCTTTATTAAATTAAATTTAATAAATATAATAAATATATTATTTAATTCCCTTAGTTTAAAATATAGTTTAAAACTTTAGCATCTTAGTGTAAGTTTTAGCAATAGAATTTTAAGACGGCATATTATATGACTGGATTAATTCCTACGGAGCTTTTGCCTCCGGGTTGGCCTGCATTTTAACTTTCTATATCCCCGATAGAATCTCCAGATTAACCTTTAGTTAACCCTATATATAGCTTCCGCCATTTATAAGGCCTCCTCCGCGGATACCCTTATCACTTCGGCTACCTTGGCGGTATCCTTTGCGATCTCATCTTCGATTAACTTAATAACAGCGTCGTCAAAGGCCTCGTTAGCCTAGGCCACCTGCGACCTGAGGCACTGACACCAGGCTCTATGCCTACGGTCTGACCTGACTTCCTCGAGGAAGGTAACTTCGTCGTAATAGATATTATTAGGCCCTCTTGCAAGCCTCTTCTCAAGGTCCCTTAGATGCTTAAGCTCCTGCTTAAGCCCTATTACTATCCGGCTTAGCTTGCGGGTCTGAAAATGCATTGCGAAGAGTAAGAGGAGCTTATAGCTAAAGGCGATTAGCCTGACAAGGCTATATTTATCGTCGTTATGCCAGGCCTCTCGGAGGCACCTAGCCTTATGCCTTAGCCACTTCAGGTCCTTGCTGTTATCACTGAGCAAGATAGTATTAATAGTATCCTTTTCGCTGAGGAAATAGCTATTAGAATAGTTATAAATACCACTGTAGAGGCTTCTTCTTCTAGGCGGTATAATGCTATATTAGTTAGCTATATAATATAGCTAGTAGTAAATAGACTAGGGATTAACTGACTGCTAGCTTAGTATTTAAATAAATAATTATTTAAATATGCTTAATAGTAGGTTATAGGAGAAAGAAGCTATTATATATATAGAGGCTTTTTTTATTACCCTTTTATTATAAAGTTTAATTATTAGTATATTAATTATCTTATTAGGAAAGTTAATTCTTAAAAGAAACTTAGATTTAATATATTAGGTTTTTAATCTATATAAATCCTTTAGTTTTAAATTTATAAGAAAACTTTAAAAAAGACTTAGGCTTAATATTTTATTTTTTTAACTCCACGCTCTACGCCGAGCCTGAGTCTTCTCAAAGTTTTCTCGTAAATTCAAAACTGGAGGATCCATGCGGATTAAAAACCCAATATACCAAACCTAAGTTTCTCTCAATAACTAACTTTCCCAACAAGATGACTGACACAGCAATAACCAAACTCTATGATGAGAGGGCGATAAAAGAAGCCTCTGTATGCACAGTAGCTTCTTCCTCCTGCAACCCACCACCGAGCACCTCCAAACAATTACTCGTCCAAATACCAAGCTGGCAGTCAGTTGATCCCTGGTCCATCCGCTACTAGCCGCGTCACACAGCTAACCAATACAGCACCATGCCGCCTGGAAGAAGAAGCCTCCACAGTGGCATCTACGACTATTCCAACGGCCATTTCCTCAGCGAAAAGGACACCATCGACACCATCTTGCTCAGTGACAACGGCAAGGACCTGAAGTGGCTGAGGCACGAGGCTAGGTGCCTCCGAGAGGCCCGGCACGACGACGACCACCACAGCCTTGTCACTATGCATAGAGAAAGTTAGAATAGTTCTGATATATTATGTGAGGGTTACTAACGGCTGATCGCCTTTGGCTGTGAGCTCCTCTTGCTCTTCGCAACGCGTTTTCGGACCCGCAAGCTAGGCCGGATGGTGACAGGGCTTGAGCAGGAGCTTGAGCGTCTAAGGGACCTTGAGAAGAGGCTTGCAAGATGGCCTGACAACATCTATCACGACGAAGTCACCTTCCTCGAGGAAGTCAGGTCGGACCTAGTTCAAGTCAGCTTGGCAAACAAAACAAATACAGACGTGGAATTGCTATACCGTAGGCACAGGGCCTGGTGTCGGTGCCTTAGGTCGCAGGTGGCCTGGGCCAACGAGGCCTTTGACGACGCCGTCATCAAGTCGATCGAAGACGAGATCGCGAAGGATGCCGCCAAGGTAGCCGAAGTGATGAGGGCGTCCGCGGAGGAGGCCTCATGAGCTGAATGCAGAATATTAGCACGAAGTACATGATACAACAGCGAGGCAAGCTTACTGGCGGAAGCTGTGTACGGGGTTGACTGAAGGTTAATCTGCTGAGCATTGTCAGTAGATGATTGAAAATCGTGCCATGAAGCGCAAATGAGATAGCGGAGGACGATCGGAGTCGAACATACGGGATTATGTCGGGCTGGAGAAAAAAGTCAGCATGGCCATAACAAGGCGGACCGAACATTGGAAGACTCACGATGTAGAAAGTTAAAATGCAGGCCGACCCGGAGGCAAAAGCTGACTGAATCAGTCATAAACCGAACAAATTCGAAACGTCAAAGGCTGACTTACCTCCGTAGGAATTGATCCAGTCACGTAACGTGCCGTCTCAAAATTCCGTTGCCAAACTCTGTGTGATGGTCAGTACAAGTTGATTGTATTAAGAGAAGAGTGGTTGAACTTGCTGCACTGAGATGCCAAAATTTTAAACCATATTTTAAACTGAGGGGCCCCCTCACATACCAGTCCAGGTAACGAGAAAGCCGAAAAAGACAGTGTTGTAACGAGGACACGATGCAGAAAAAAAAAAGATTAAAAAAGATGTACAAATGAAAGAAAAGACAATCAGACAAGCAAAAGTGTCCTCTGTAAAATGTATGTAAAAGTGCCTAAGCACTGGCGTGCCGGTCATAAAACGGCGAGTCCTCGCGAATGTTGTCGTACTGAGAGCCAAGTGGGAAGAACACCATGGCCCATTGGGTAGCAGGCTTCGCGTGGACTGTAAGAAGGGTGTCCCGATCCAGTCTACCAATGCAATCGACCAACTTCTGTCTTGCAGAATCAAGTTCTGGGCAATGAAAGAACATGTGATAGACGGTTTGGTATCGATGTCCGCATGTACATGCTGGGGACAAAACAGCCTCTTCTGGGGTGTGATCGCCAGCTTCAGAGCTGGGCTGGACTGGGCGTCGAATCCTCATGTCGTGCAACGGACCGTTCAAAGCGATCTTCTCGGTGCGTAATTCGAGTAGTAATGTGCTCTCGCCCCGTCGCAGATCCTTGTAGAGATCGAGACTCTCATGACCCCAATCCTCCCTCAAGCTGGCAAGACGGTGCCTGGATGGATATTTGTCCGGTCGCTTACATCGGTACTTGTTCCATTCCTCGGCGCTTCTCTCCTCAGAATCCTGGCGTGCCAGGTCGTTGATGACTTTCTTGCGCTTGTCTCGCACACGCCACGCCTTGAGAAATTTTTCCTCATCGCCGCCGTTCTTCAACAGTAGTACTTCTGCAGCTCGTCTTGCCAATTTGTGTGCCTCCTTGTTGAGAATATCCGTCGAAAGTTTGTTGTACTGCCTCTGGGCTGATGGCTCGTTGCGAAGTGGACGGACATAGGGTTTCTTCTCTTGAATGTCCATGGACAAGGCTCGTCCAACCTGTGCCCTCCTGTAGAGGTACTCGCTAATGCTGGGAATGTGTAGCTCCTTCATCACGACTTGTTTCGGCGATTGACCAAAATAGGCTGTCACGTCCTTGAGGACTTTGTACTGGATTGACTCCAGTCGGTTCACCTCTTGCTTGAGCGACTGCGGAAGCGTCTCTGTTGGGCTGTAAAAGAACCAAGCTTCACATGCGTATGCGAGTATGGGCAGGATACTACCCATGTAGAAGTCCCTTGCTTTCTGCACTGTAAGGCCAACTTTTCGCTTAGCCATGATTTTCAGAATCCTCAGCTTCTTGTTGACTCTCCTTTCAATGTCGTCAACGTGTGACTTAAAGCCGAGCTGAGGGTCGAGAGTGATTCCGAGCATCTTGACCTCCTTGTCTTTCAAGACATCACTGTTGCCAGCAACTCCTGGAATGTTGGGAAGGAGTTGACAGTTAGGCGACTTGTCCTGGGGGTTCTTGAAGTGCGTGATGCTGTATTTGTTAGGGGAGAATTCCGTCCCCGTCTCCTGCGCCCATTGCGCAATCGTGTGATGAAGCTTCTCCAACGCCAAACAGTTGTCTTCGTAGGACTGAGACGTGACGACAATATATGTATCATCGACGTAGGAGAAGACAATGATCGTGACATTGTCGACCTTCTGTGCCTCCAGTCGCTCAAGCAAAGGGGCTGTAAAGAACAAGAATAGGAGTGGTGAGAGTGGAGAGCCTTGCGGAATGCCAATGTTGACGAGGGTGTTGCCGGAGATGCTGTCAGGGAGTTTGAGACTGATATAGCGATCGGAGAGGAAAGACTGCATGATTCGAAGGAAAGGCTCAGGTATGCCCTTATCTGCAAGTACCTGGAGTACCAGCGCACGGTTGACCCGGTCAAAAGCACCTGCGATATCGAGACCCATCTTGGTGACCTTCCGCAACTTCCTCATCACAAGTCTAGTCTTCTTCCTGGACCAGTTCCGGTGAATAGTGTCCAACAATGTCCTCATACACTGCGTTGTTGACTTTCCTGGCGCGCCGTACTGGGATCTGGGTAACAGAAGGTTGTCTATAGCAACCTTCTTGAGGCAATTGGCCAGGAACCTCTCCAACACCTTTCCAATAGAAGTTGGAATCGCAATCGGACGCCAGCTCTTGGCTGAGGTATATGACTTCTTGCCTGGCTTCGGAACAACGCGCACAAGGGAAGACTTGAAGCAGGCAGGGAAGTAGCCGAGCCTGATGCAGGCGCGAAAGAGGATGACGAGATAAGGAGCGAGCGTTTCTCGTGCCAGCTTCAAAGCCTGTCCATGGACCGTGTCAAAGCCAGGTGAACTCCTCCCTCGTATATGGTTGATAAGGCGTTTGATCTCCGCCTCGTCAAAAGACAAATCCATCACATACACAGTGCGTTCCGGGTCGACGGTGGGGAAGGGAACGGTAGTCATGTTCTCGATCTCGGGCTTGTCCCTCCCCTTCCAGAACTCGTCGAAAAGATGCCGTTGCTTCTCTTCATCAAGAACATAGGCAACGCCGTTGGCATCTATGAGAATGGGCACATTCTGTGCAATGTGTGCCTGGGAAAATCGCGTAGCCACTCTAGCCGCCTTCCATGTACCGTTTGAGGACTCTCCCATGATGTGAAAAGCGTCACGGACGGGGTTAGGCTTTGTGGCCCGCAGGTGATGCCGTTCCTTGGTCCGACTGTTGACAGGGGGTTGTTTTGGCTCAGAGGACGGAATCCCATCGCCGTCAAGGAGTTGACGGGCTTTTTGATCCGGAGGCTTCTTGGGGGGCGGGTGCACCTTGTCTGTCGGGACAGTTTCATCTGTAGCCGTACACAAACTCTCGACGACCTCTTCCGCAAGTTTGTCTACACCTCCTCTGTCCAACTCAATCCCACTCAACTCGTCTAAAGGCCTTACGACCTGACGCACCTTATCGACCTTGTCGTATAGGTAGCGTAGCGTCGTGTCTTGGAAAGGTTCGATCTCCAATATTGTCCGGCTGGGATGATGGTCGATCCCTTGCCAAGGATCCTCCTCATAGACTTGACATGACTGGATACGGCCCTGCAATGACTCACTGGCGAAATTGAGGTCAATGCACGAACGGATCGCGTCTTCACCCTTGCCTGACCTGAATGTTTCAGTTCCAGGGATCGTCTGGAGTCTCATGTTCGCGTTGGCCATACCCTCCTGAAGTTGTCTGGCTGGCAATGGGGTTTTGGTGGGGTCTCCACGGAAGAGCGGACCTGACCATGCCGGGTGGTGAAGGTTGAAGTCGCCCATGACGATGTCGAAGCCGGACACAGTTGTCTTAGCCAGCATTTCAGGAACGTTCATGGTCTGTTCAGGCTGGTTGGGGTTGTAAATGGAGTGGATCTGAATGGTGCCTATCTCAGTGGCCATGTGAAGAGTGGCAACCATTTCGCTGTTAACGCCATCGTACCATTCAACGTCCCATGATTCTCTTGCGATTGACTTGTGTATAAGAAAGAAGACTCGACTCATCTTGACAGGTGGCTTCTCAGGAGCGGGGGGGTGATCAGTGGTAGAACCTCCAACGGGTTGGTTAGCAGGCTTCCTACCCCGACGCTTGCGAGGTTTTTTACGTGGCCAGATGGGATCCTGAGGGTTGTCTGTTTCATCAAGCGTTCGAGAAGATTTTATCTCGAGGTGATAATCATTGGGGCAATTCCAAGCAAGTGAATCCGAGCCATCGCAGCCGACTATGATAAGGGGTTGACTCCAGGTTTTGGTCGTTCTGATGAACTTGAAGAATTTCCTCTCTAGTTCTCTAGAGCCCCTAAAGTTGACTTGATCGACGCTGACAAGCCATTTCTTTGCGAGATCTCTATCCTTTGCCTTCTCTTGCCCTTCCCGTCGAGCTTTGGCAGTTGGCTTGGATCGCCTGTTGTGCCCCATTGTGAGAGGCATGAACAGGTCCGGGGTGGATTGATAGTTGAGAAGTAAAAGGACATGGAAGTGGATGACGATCGAGAGTGCCTAACAAGAGGAAGTAAACAAGCGTGGCTGGTATGTACTAGCACGTTAGTGTGTTGGGCAATGAGAAGGAACAAGAAGTACGAAGGTAGAAAGACTTACAGATTGGATGGCTGAAAGTGTTGGAGGGAAGGAAAGATGGGTTTGGAATGTGACTGTGTTCAGATAGGTACTGTTTGTGATGTTGGTTGTCATGTTGAGGAGAGATGGGCTTCATACCGGTGCAGATATGTAATAGAGAGTTGGGAGAAGATATGAATGGGCAGCAAATCCAACAAAGAATGATAATGACAGGTATTGCGTATGTTGTGATCTATTCTTGTATAAGCAAAGGTTTTTGATAAGAGAAAAAGAAAAAAGAAATGGTTTTGGCGGGTAGGTAGGCAGGTGACAGTCAGTTGGCAGGCACCTAGGCGTAGGATTGGAAGAGAAAACGTAAGGAGCAAGGTAATAAGTTGAAATCAGGTAGCAATTGTTCAAAGATACAAGATACAACAACTTGCAGGATAATCGTAGGTTTGAAGGGTATGAAGTTGCTAATGCACAAAAGAAAAAGAGTTGTCAATGATAGAGAATAAGGGGATGTCCATAATGACAGTAAAGATGTGTTAATAATTGGCAGCAAAGAAGATAATGACAGTAAGGAAATCCTAACAGGATTTTAACATGGGGGCTTGGGAGAATATAGGTAAGTTACGTAGACAAGCAATACGTATCTGTTGATTGTATCAAGCCCGTCAGCTAGATTTGTAAACACTGCCGATCAAGACTATGTAAGCTCATACTACCTATAAATGGGTAGTCTATGCGATGGCATTACCAGATTCATACTTGCCCTTGCAGACTAGAGTTTGTCGATTGCCAACATCCTCCCTATTCAGTAACCAACCCGTAAATGAAGTCGTCAACATATAGCGTAATGTCAACTCCCAGCCTCACCGTAGCTTTGTCCTAAGGTAGGTATTCCGCGGTATTATCGTCTATGGCACGGCGGAAAGGAAATCAAGTCGGCCGGCGTTATTTTCAGTCTTCGTTGAGCTTGTCCAGGAATCTTCCAAGGTTGTGGTTGATGGTGATGTTCATTTCAGCCTTGCTGGAGATCGCCCGTCCAAATTCCAATATCGGCAATTGTGGGGTCACTGTGCCGGGGCCGGGGCCGGGGCCGGGGCCAGCTCTGGCGCATTATGCAGGGGCCTTCCGCCATGTCCGGAGTTTGAACATTTCGGCAGTTTCGCGATTGGCTTTCTTGTTACTCTGACATCATTCCCTGACTATGTAGATACAGCCAGCGTAGGCTGTGCCCTTGACAACCCATAGTCTAGGAGATATCGCATCGACATTTATACATGACTTTCCGTATTTTTCTTGAACTGTCATTCTTTATTCACCAGACCATTCATTCTTTCAGCTTGTCTTTCTCTTAAATTCAGCATCACTAATTCTCGTTTCTGTAACTATGTCCTCTCAACCTACCGACGATTCCCATATGGAGTCGTTCATTGCCAAGAGCGTGTCAGATTTTGGTGAAACAGGTCGGAGCCATGCAGAGCACCCTTGATTTACTTATGATTCAAGTTCGACAGACTACAAACCAGAACCGTGCACCCGATCAGAGCAATTCCTTTGCTGCAGCTCTCGAGTTGATGAATTCCCATCTCGAAAAGCTCAGACACGCCAGTTCCAGCCCCAATGAAGGGATCGCGCTCTCATTTGAGGCTCTCCCGGATGACCCAGTTCAAGTTCTCCAGGAGATCAAGAACATAGACGAAACCATCACTCGGCGGCTAGATGCGATTGAGTCTCGAATCCCACGGGCGTCCGAACCCAGTGAGATAGAACGACACATCATCAAGTTCTTCGTCCGAGAAAACCTTCCCCATATCAGAGAAATGAGCAAGCAAACCCTTCTCCAAACTGTCAAAAAGATCGACGGTGCCTTCGCGGAGGTCATGACGGTGCATTTTACGGATACAAGCCCCAATACCAAGCAGGATGCCTTCATGATACTCACCTTCCACGACTATGACATGGAGCAACTGGGTCGGGACCAGATTCAGAATTTTCGGTCCCAATTCAGCCTTAGCGATGTATCATCCATGGCGCCCAATCGGTACTGGCTTGAGATACTATATTTCGTGAAGAGGGGAACTTCCCCAGTTGAGATCTTCGATGGCGCGGATTTTCTCCTCGTGAACTTTCCAAATGAGAGACACTCTCTCAATGCAAGCATTCTTCGCAGGAGATTGATTCTGAAGACATCTGACTTGAATCATCTATCGTCACAATCGAAGGGCAAAGCTACTTGATCGTGTAAGTTTCCCCACAATCGTATTACCTTCACGATCACTAATGTAAGGACAACAGCGCTACAACTCCGCAGTCATTTCCCTGCTTCTGCCACAATTGCGGAAAGGCGGGTCACTTTGCGTATCAGTGCACAGTTGACACGAGGTGCAGTCAATGCTCTGGACCCCATCACCCTCGCCATTGTGACAAGAAGAACAAGGCGGAGTTCAAATGTCCCAACTGCGGTGGCAAGCATGGAGCCTCGGATCCCAACTGCCGCGACCGTGACTCCCAGAAGGAGCATCGCATCTCTGTCATTCATCGGGCGAACCCTCCCGCATGGTCAAGGAAGAGACGAGCTTCTCAGGTCAACATCAACAACTCTGCTGCTGCCATTGATACCTCCCAGCCAGCACCCACAAGAGGTCGTGGCCGACCTCGCAAGAACGCGACTGTAAAAGGCACTTCTCCACAGGCGAAAGGCGAGAACACAGCTGCCGATGATTCCAAGCAGCGACGACTCCCCAATATGTTTCGACAGCAAAACGAGACCTTGTCATCTCAAGCAGGTCCATCTTCGCGGACCGTGGCGAGCAGTTCCAGGGCTCAGATCACAACCATTGATGAAGGTCAGAGCGCCGATGCCGACACTATGGACATGGACTACGACTCGGAATTTTGTCAAGGCACTGACGATAATTCCACCATCGGAACTGATTCGACGGTCGGGAGCATTACATCCAGGAGGAGCAGGCAGAAGAAGAAGTCCAAGGGCAAGAATGTTGCCGCACCGCCCAAAACCACTCCAGCGATTGAGGAGTTGGTTTTGCAGGGCCCAGTATCTTATGGCTCAACTTCTTCTGCTCCAACATCTTCTGCTCCGACGCCGCCTACTTTAACACCATCTACTTCAACGTCATCCACTTCGACACCGCCTGCTCCGATACCATCTGCTCCCAGGTCTTCTGTCACCGGTGGCAAGGATGCAGACTACAGCGCCAATCCTTTAGGTAATGGCGAGGTCAATGTTACGGAGCCTCAGGTGCCAGCCTCTTCTCTGGAATCGGGCGACAGCCAGGTGACCCAGGCGCTTGTTCCAGCTGCAAGGACTACGGGTCGCATCCAGTCCCAGACGCCAACATTCACTGGAAGGGCCACTAGAAGAATTCACTCTCAGACGCCAACACCCACTTCAAGGACCACTGGTCGCGTTACTGGTCGCATCGCTCAACCACATGTCTCTCCTCCCGAATCTCTCGATCTTCCCCGCTCACAGCTGTTGATAGGGTCCTACAGGTCTTCATCTCCCGCATCTGATTACGGAGCCAAGAGGAAGCGAGGCTGAGTCGATGACATTGATGGATGCGCCTTCCCGTTCTTTCTACCCCCCCCCCCCCCCCCCCGTTTCTCTTTGTCTATTTCTTCCACTTCAATTTTTATCTGGTCATGTAATGAGATTGACGGTTTTCTCTGGCGATTGGAGGGTTATTTGTTCCTGTCATTCTTTTGTTCTTTCTTTTTTAAAGTCTATCCTGCGTATCTTTTATTTTCTTTCTGTCTATAGTTCTCTTTTGTCCCTTCGTTTTTTTTTCTTTCTTTTTCTTTACCTGCAACCTGTAGCTTTTGTGTTTTCTTCTGTGTACTCTATAGATGTGTAGTTTTAGTATCCAATTGATCTCTAGCCTTGCGAATTATATCTGTTAACTTGGAAGATTTTTATTGTATAACTTTGATTGGGTTTTTTTGTTCTTGCTCTTTAAACCGGATGCAAGCCTTTTTAATTCCTTCCAAATTTTTGCTACTGTTCTTGCCTAGGGAGGCATAAACGTGGGGTAAACCAGCTACTCGGTTACTATTATTTGGTTGGTATAAGATCCGCATGGAAGGGCCGTCGATCTTGCCTAATTGCTAAGCGCCAACTTCTATCATACAGGGGATCTACCAAGGCACAACTCCCGCCCGCATACGATGACAAGGGAGACGAACCAGTCACACTATAGTGCAAAAGCTTAACTCCTAAAGGCGGGGGTGACTTAGAGCCGCAAGATCTGCCACCTGGGTCTTGTCAACTGAAACACCAGCCCGCCGACTCCATATCATGGTTCTAAAGCAAGTTTTTGGCCTGACTGCTGAGCCAGCATGTTACCATCATCGCCTTTTCTAGCAAACCGGCAAGACGATGCAATCTCCGGGGTTCCCGCAACCACCATCTACTGGGACCACTCGCGATGCTAGAAGCTTTCTTCGTACCATCTGACGAGAAAGACTTGCGATGGCATCGACCTAGCCATAAGTATAAGACATAGTCAGCATCTCATTTCTAGAATCCTCTTCTATGCAACTCAACTTGTCTTTCATTTGTACGACTCAATTCGTTTTCTATCGTCTCTTTTTTTTTTTTTACATTCGTTTCATCCTCCGACACTCTGGCATCCTCCTGCATTGCATCATGGCCTGCTGCACATGCCTTGGTTGACCGTTTCCGGAATGCGAATTGTATGTTCCTAACCTATTATGACATGACTAATATATACTAACTAACTCTGTCTGTCTTCAGACAAGAAATTCGATGATTATAGGTCGGCTAAGGACTGGTTCAACAAATGGAAGCCTTCTGGAGACTCTGTAAAGATAATCCCTGAAGAAGTGGCTCTTGATGTTGATCGTAATGTGAGACATCGAGTGGATCGCCCAGCGAAGCTATCACTGCCTGTTGGTAAAGCGCGTGGTGGTAACGCTCGAGGTTCGTCTCATTCCGGGACCAAGGTCGATGCTAGATATCACAATCACACATCAAGGGACGTTGATGATGAGATGACCGCCTTCGATGCGAAGCACGTCGACGATCTGGAGGCTATGAATCAAATGGCTTCTCTATATGATAAGCCTCGTGGCGTCAAAATGCCTTCTCTTGCATCACGTTCCAGCAAGGCCTCCGGTACCGGCATGCCTTCTTCCTCGGATCCCGCTCTTATTGCCCATGGGAGTTTTCGTTCTGAAGACTCCAACGACTCTAGTACTTCTCTTGCTGACAGTTCTTCCGATGTGGTTGCACCTTCGACTCTTATCGGAATCCCTGACGATGATGATTCTTATGTCGAGCCTCCTCCCGGACCAGAAGCTCGTTCACTGGTGAAACTGGAGCCCCGTTCAATCATGAATTTGGAGCTTATCCCTTCCCGCGACTTGGAGCCCAGCCTCAATCAAAGCTCAGACGCTTATTACTCAGGCGCTGAGGACGAAGACCAGGACCAGCCTCCACGGAAGAAGAGTGCCCTCATGGAAGAACCGAAGTTCGAAGAGTTCGAATACTATCCTGGCGAACTCAACCTCTTCCAAAAAGACATTGCCAGCGTCCTTTCTGAACACAGCACTATTCACATTGATGCATCTGGTAGAGACGAGACTAATGAAACGGGCAGTTTTCTTCGTCCTCCTTACAGGTCTGGCAAGGTGACACTGCGAAATTTGGCGACGGTTTTGGACAAGGTCGAAAATCTTCTTCACTGCTGCCAGTCCATTAGAGTGACAGTGGAGAAGGACGTTTAATTTAATGTTTTGTTCGAGAAGTTTTGGACTTCTCTGTATGTATGTTTGGCGTTCTCTGCCAGCAGGTTTGTTTCTTTGTTATATCGTAGCTATGTGTAGTAGTAGTCATATATGGCGGTGTAATCCGTGCATGTCTATGTCTTATTTGCCAACCTATGGCGGTGTGCCATCGATACTTCCAAATTAGAAACAATGATCACAACAGCAAGTATATCTGTAGAACTACAATAGTAGGATAAGCAGTATAGATATTCTATCAGACAACGAGGGGGCATCTTTAACTGCAACGCCTTGTATTTAAATGTAAGCTCGTAGTAATGTCTGCATCTCATACTGCCATTGTAGTATTGCGACCTAAGCATTATCGACATAGACACTCTCTGGCTTTACATAGATACGATTAGATGATACCATCATGCCAATACTACCTTGTCTCTCAGTGCAGGGCATCAATTCTTCCCAACTCCCTCGACTATCCAAGTCTTCCCCATCAGTAGTATTACAGCTCACCATTACTGCAATCTAACGAGCTTTGTTGTAATCCCGTCTCTGAAGGCTTGAGAATTCTAGTCCTCGTCTCAATGATAGCCGGAGCCTCTTGGTGTCCTTTTCATAATGGAGTTCATGTGCGGAATGCCTTCATTGCAATTGACCCCACCCAGGCTGTTGGCTGTGTCCAAGTTACCTAGGCCTGGCCTTGTATCCTTCATTGCAATTTAAACTACTGCCAACGGTCTTGAACACTACGACAGCCTGAGAGAGGTTAAAATCGCAGTGAAAACGTCGCCACCAAACAACTGCTCTGTCACGGCTGTATCAATCAATTCAGTTGTTATTGGGCAAGTTGACCTCGGCTGCCTCCCAAGGTCACAGAGTATTGCCCGTGTATGATTTTTTCACTGCAGTTTTAAAGTCACCCCAAGTGATTGCCTGGAATTACTGCAACCACATCTCTCAAAGGGAATAGAAGCATCTAACGGATGCGCAACGGGGCTCGTTGTAATCAGTACTGCCTTGGTTTAACTACTGTCAGTTTTTTGTCGGTCATATCGTTATAATATTAAAAGAGCTCTGGTTGTGACTTGGCTCAATTGTAAGTGAACCTTGCTGGTTTTAGGCCCTTTCCCCATACTGAACTCTTGTTTGTATACGCGAAACCTCTTCTTCGTCGGAAACAATCTGTAATGCCATTCCCGCCATCCTCATAGATCTTACTAGGTTTCAGTAGTGATTGAGGCCTTACTGAACTCTGTGAATCGGTCTCTTTATTGTTACACCTCTGGATTAATCCTGCCGAGTCCTACTCGTTTCTCATTGGAAAGTGATTTGGGGATGTGCTGAACTTATAAAGAGTCGGTTTCACTGCATTTTTAACCTCTCCCGAGTTGTCGTATACCAGGGTTCCCTACACAAGGCTGATTCTACCTGCAAGGCATTTTTTCTCGTCTGTTGAGTAAGGTGAGCTCGGGGGAGGTTAAAATTGCAGTGAAGAGAGGCAAAATCTCTCCCCCTGCTGGTGCTCTCTCGCAGCCACTGTAGCCCAGTCCTACATGCCCACACCAAAATGTATCACAACTTAACTTGACAATAAACAACCACGTACAAAGATCTTCGAAAGTACAATGGCGATGAATGGGATTAATATGCTTCCATATTGAAATCGCCGACTGCATTTTTAACTCTTCTCAGGCTTTTTCATATCAAAACTTGCATGAGGCTCATTTGTTGTGTAGACACTTTCCTCTTGTCTGTTCAGTACGACGGAGCTCAGGAGAGGTTATAATTGCAGTGAAGGCGGCGGTCTAGTGAGCGTGCCCGGGTATTCAACCCGCCTACCCGCCCAGCTACAGTGTAGCTAGTCCTACCATGCATAAACACCAAACCGAAACCGAACTATCCCATCTCAACTTGACAATAAACAACCACATTCAATTGAGTACACCGACACTTATCTACTCCCCAATCTTGAAATCCATCTTTTCAAGATATGTCTTCACATCAGTAAGTTCAATCCCCCTCTCCACATTAAAAGTCCCCTCCTTCGGCCACGCCACACCTCGTCCCTGCGCAAACGAATACCTATACTTGATCATCTTATTATCCGGTTCATCCTCCGCTTGTTTCGCAAGAATCTCAAAATTCCATAGCTCACGCTTAAACTTGGTCTCAAAATGAGCATCCAACAAATCCGCAAGGCGTCCGTAGGTAAAAGTGTCACCAGCGATATAAACAGGCCGGCTACCAATTCCGCGCGGGTCGAGAATTAGCTCAGCTGTTACACGACCAATGTCTGGAGGTGTGGTGAGGGTGATTTCTGTTTCCCAGCTTCCTAGCCCGCGAACTATTTTTTGGGACAGATCAACGACGCCAAAGTCGGCGCGGAATAGGAAGCTCATGAATAAGCCTGTAGACACAATTGTCCAGTCTACTTCCTTTTGAGCGCGAAGTTTGTCGCGCACGTCGATTTGCTTGTCGAATAAATCTTGCGATGTACCTTTTCCAATGGCATCGTAGTCCATGCCAAATTGCCATGGAAAGAAGCGCTTCACACCTGAAGCCATGACAGCGTCCAGAATCTTGAATTGTACGTCTGCTGGTAAAGCCATGCCTGTGCACGACACGATGACATCGTATCTGGAAAATATGGCTGCTAGGTCTTCTACGCTGGCATCTGCAACATCGCCTGCTTCGGTCCCGGCGTTGAGGGACTGGATATGTTGGATGAGCTTCCTCTTTTCTGGGGCAGCTGAGTCAAGGGTTGCCTGGCGGATAAGTACAGTGATTCGTTGGTGGTGACGCTTAGGATGACTGGCCAGGCCTTGGAGAACGCAGAGGCCTAGTTCGCCGGCGCCTAGGATGAGGATGTTTTGAGACATTGGTATGGAAGAGTCGTTGAGACGGTTCAACGCTTGGAGATTTTCAATTGAGAGTTCGAGGGGCGTTTCTGTCATGGTATTTAAGCTATAGTTTACAACGTCGTTTCATTCCATCATGGTCATCGTGGTGGTTTGGTCTGCATGTTAGCGGATCTTCAATTGAGAGGGGACGAATGAGGTCTCATGGGACTTACGCTGACTTGCCCCGACTTACTTATAAATCCGCTATCTCCATTTCCGCCTGCAACGATGTTCATGACTGACATAATCACTGATTACCAATAAAACAAGATTGAATGCCGGCAAGTTGGATAGAAAGGCCCAGAACAAGAACCCGTCTCTCGAAAAGAGCCACATGCCCCATCCCTCCAGGCCAGGAACAAACTTGCCAGACGCGGAATGCTTTAGAGAGCTTATTTCATTTCTACCTAAACAAAAACGAAAGCCATAGAAGGGAGGAGTCATTAAAAGCGCTGGTCGCATTATTAAACTTTCAGCTAAGAATTAAATTGACAATAATGAATGACAGGCACCAAGACCCATCGCCAAACAATCAACGCCCACGCTTCCCAATGCAGACAAATCTTTTCACAACTCTGTTCTACCAAATCTTCTAGCTAATGAATGAACGAATGAATCACGCCTTGACTGTGTTTTTGTTGGCAAATCCTACTCGGTTTGCCTTGAGGTCGAAGATGACGAATTGAGCCTTGAGGAGAATGTCTCCCAGGATGGCGAAGCCAATACCCTCCGACGTCTGGATGCCACCGTAGCAAACCGTTGAAGTGAGACGACCATAATTGATGTAATGGCCGGGGACCTTGCCTCGATACTTGCCAAAACCAAAGTAGAAGCTAGGAAGCTTGGCTGTGCATGGGAAGACCCAGACACCATAGTCATTGTCGATGTAAGCGCCCTTAACCTTCTTGTAGTAGAACTTGACAAGGTAGTCGGGCAAGAGAAGAAGAGTGGTGCCGGTGTCGACAATTGCTGAGTACTTGTACTTATGCCACGGTGCACCCTGAGCGACACGGAAGCCCTCAACAGTGATCTGCCACCATGGGCTGTCCTTCTTCACCTTGGCGAAACCCACAGATCCGTAGTACTCATTTTGGTCGAGGTACCCAAAGTTGTAGTTTCCAGCCATGCCCTTCTGCAGATTGGCAGTGAAGATGGGACCATCCAAAGCGTCTTGGACTCTGTCAAAGTATGTCTTTTGAGCAATAGGCCGGACAGTATTGAGACTCGACATGGCTAAACCCAAGATGCCATGAGCAAACTTGTCTGCGGCAATGCCGTCAGATACTTCAGTAGCAGACTGCACAGCCATGTCGTTTACATAGGTCCCTCCGACTCGCACTCTATCCCGGTAGACGATTCCACTGGCACCGGTGCCGTCGCCATATTTGATGCTCCACGTCTGGCCATTCATTCGCTTGCATAACTTTGAGTTGTCAGGTTTGTAGAGGATATGGCCCGCCTGATCAGGTTGATACGTGTCGGTAGAAAAGACCCAGCTGTTAGATGTCAGTGTGCTCTATAAAGCAGCCTTGGAACATGAATTACAGGTCAGATGAGCCGGTATCAAAGTTCACATAGGTAGTCTGCTGTGGACTACCAATCTGGATAGGAACGACGTATTGTGAGTCGTAGTACTGAGGAGGTGTTGCTGCTGCAGTGCCCTTCAGTCCTATACAATGTTAGCCATGGGTAGACAAACGTGACAATTGAGCCCTTACCGAGCTTGTTCTTCACGAGTGCTTGTTCATGGTCGGCAATCTTTCGAAGCTCCGCATTCGGCAATGGCTTTCGGTATTTGTTGTAAGCATGAATGAGGGCAATCTCGGCGTGCGGCTTCTTGTATCGTGAGTTTGTGATTTGATCAAGCATGACCTTTTCGCCTTTGGCTCGTGGCACAAGGTGAGCGGAGTCGGGGTCAGTCTCGGGATCAATAGCTCGGCCCTTCAAGCCCTTGCCCATCTCGATCTCCTCCAGTTCCTCGTGGTCAATGTCCTCCTCTTCTGTCCCGTCAATTGGGTCATCGTAATCATCGCTTCGAACCGTGAGAGCCCGGGAAGCATCAACTTGAAGGTCTGTAGACCTCTTCGCTGTCCTCCCCAAAGGCTTCTCGGGATGGCCTCCAGCACCGTTCACCTCATGAGCACCACCACGGATCTCATGAGGGATACCCGTGCTACAGCCGGCGAGTAGAAGAAAAGAAACCGTGCTGAATCTCATGGTGAAAAATAGATTAAAGAAAAAGAGTTATGATGATTGTCAAGAGGCGAATCCAGAAGAGGGACGTGGTCTGTTATTTTAAGACAATGGGTTGTGGACTCGGGAGGCGGTTGAGAGTTCCGGATCGAGGCTCAAGACATCTTCCCAGGCACTTCCAGGTCCCTAGCATGGCATTCTGGGCAAGTCTCGAGCTAGGTGAAGCCATCCCAGAGAGCTTAACCTGGAATGTGGTCTTTGGAGAGTATGGGTTCGCGTGGAATGCTCCTGGATCCAGTATAGTATAGTATGGCATCTGCATTCCGTGGGCATGGGACTAGACGATTTAGACTCTTTTATGGATGCCACGAGTTGCGGCAACAGAGCCATGACCGAGCCATGACTGAATTTGGCTTGCCACGACCGTTCTTGGTTCCTGGTTCCTGCGTCTGATTTGTCTGACTTTGTTCCGATCCTGCAGGGTCTCCGTGTTGACGTTGAAGGCACTCTTGTTCAATTGCCAGGGTCCCGGGTTTGTGTGTTGGTGGCATTTCGACCGGCGCGTCAACGACAATGGCTTGCCGACCATGCCTCTTGAATCGATCAGCAGAGGTTATGAACGGATGGTGTGATAATGATGAAAAGGACCCTCGATTGATCATTTGATCTACAACAATGTCATTTTTTATGCCTTTTCTTGCCTACGGCAGGTCAAACATCGTCAACGCCAAGCATTGTACCTGCATATTTCCGGCCATTTGACAGATGACGTCCAATTGTTGGTCACAATGACATGGTATTTTCTTGCCCTTGGCAGGACACCTTTGAGTTTGGAAGAGTTTTCGCAATCACAATCATAGCGATAATCCGATTCGTGAAAGACTCTGTGATAAGTTTGCCAAGCAGGCCCAAGCTCTCTTGCCTTTGAGCCGTCCGGTTTGTTACTCGTTTTGGTAGCTGTCACCTCTTAGATCGCTTGTCTAACTCGTTGGTGTGATGATCACAACTCCGCGGCTGCGCGGCTCAAGAAATAGCCTCATTGGCGCCAGTTTAGCAGGCCTCGGTCCCTCGGTTGAGATGCCAAAGAATGCACTGACTCGATATTGCGATGCTACCTGTGGTGGAGTTGAAACGCTGAGTCGTAGCGTGGTTTAGGAGGTTTGCTCCGAAGAGAGGAAAGTGGCTGGTCAATGCATGACAAAGGCTCGGCCCCTTCCGCTTTGGGGCTCTTGACTTTTGTCGATACCTGTCATTGTTGTGTTTGCCTGTAAACACCAGATGGAATATCACGATGCCTTCATTGAACAATTGATGGAGATGAAGATGGAGACGGTGGAGTAAGTGATGATGCAAAGTCGAGGCAAGTCATCCAATGAATGACCCCATCGATTTGCTGCAAATTACCCCTCCATGACTCACCAGGGTACTCACGATCCACTAAAACTTTTTGAGAGCAGATGCCAAAATCATTAAATCAATTGACATTTTTACAAATGAGAGGATCTATACTTAGACATTCTAATGTGAAAGATACTATTTTTAATATAATATAAACAAATGATAAAATTAGAATGGCAATTACTCAAATACTTGGAGGTGTCAAACAGTACCAGAACCGTAGTAGACACCTGCAAACAATTCACTGAGTATCCCAATTACTGGAGTTTTCTGGCATAGCCCCCGGTCGGGCCAGTCCCTAAACCCACTGTCAGGCGCTGTAGACCCTTGATAAGATAACGGATTTTTCGACCCCGCCACCCCGCGACAACTTCTTCAGGTTGCACAAAAATTCCAACGCCTTCAATTATTGTCCACCCGACGAAACTAATTGATCGGTTTTCGCTTTGCCTTTAGACTACACCGCAAAGCAAATCGTCACAATGGATCCCGCCGCTCCCCACCAACCGCCCTACACTTACACGGCGAATCAGGGCTATGAACAGACCGAAGAGATACCCCGCGAGCTACAGACCCAACGAGACGATGGCGCTGCCCTCGACAACCAGGACGACGACAACGATTTCGATGATATCTTTGATGACCAGGACTTTGACGATAATGACTGGTCTGCTGATGCGGGAGACTTGACAAAGTCTTACAACAGACAGCGCGGTACCAACGAGGGAGTCGCCCTTCGCTCGAACCAGCAAAAACCTACTGCCAACACCTTTGCGAGCGTGGATGATCAAGTCTCAGCTCTTTCCAAGCACGCCGCCAAGATCAGACTCGACTCCGTTAAGCAAGATGGTGGTGATTCAAAGGATAAGGACAAGGCGGACCGCGCCACTAGCGACCAAGTTCTTGACCAGCGCACCCGAATGATTCTGCTCCAGATGATTAACCGAGGTTTCGTGAGCGAAGTCCACGGTGCCATCTCCACAGGAAAAGAAGCCAACGTCTACGGCGCCGTTCTTATCGACGGCAGCACAGGCGAACCCACCCAGAAAGCGATCAAGGTCTACAAGACAGCCATTCTGAGCTTCAAGGACAGAGAGCGCTACATCACGGGCGAGCACCGTTTCAAGAGTGGCTTTGACAAGGGAAACAACCGCAAGATGGTTAAACTTTGGGCAGAGAAGGAATTCCGAAACTTGAGGAGGATCTACAACTCTGGTATTCCTTGCCCTGAGCCTATCAGCCTTAAGCTTCATGTCCTTGTCATGGGCTTCCTTGGTGACCGCAAGGGCTGGGCGTATCCTCGCCTCCGCGACGCTACCCTAACAGGAGACGATGTTGATCAGCAGTGGCACAAGCTTTACGTCCAGCTGCTTGGCATCATGCGCAAGATCTACCAGGTCTGTCGTCTTGTTCACGCCGATTTGAGCGAGTACAACATTCTATACCACAAGGGTAAACTCTAC